GGGAACAGGCAGAGACAGAACAGACCTCTAATGTCGTGGAGACCAGGCCCTGAACTGAACAACAGCCCAGGCGACCCAGAAGCCCCTACAGCACCCCTGGCAATAGTACTCCACAAGGGTCCCAGTGATGCTGTGAAAGAAAGCTCTGGGAGAAGGAGGGAGGATTTTTGCCCACCTAGTGATGGAGGGCACCAAAGACAGACAGAGGCCTCTGGTGGGATGAGGTATGAATCTCAGTTGTGGGCAAATGGAGAGGGAGAGTCACCGCTGACCACTTTCCCCCATCCTTTAAACCCTAGGTAAATGCCTCTTTTTCCACAGGGCCCTTTGGTCTCTCCACGGCTCCGCAGAGTTTGTCGGGGCCTGGACACCAGCCCTGCTGAGATTAGCCACACCCTACCAGGACACAAGACTGGGAGTGGGGCGGTGGTACTCCACAACAAGTGCTGAACTGTGCAAACCAGGCATGCTGTCACAATACACCCAGTGCCCTCCTCTGTCATCCACATCCTTCTCAGACCAGAGGCCTGCATTAAAGCTGGCAATCTCTTCCAGGAAACCTCCCCTGGCTGGCCCAGTCCTGACAGTTTCCTCTCGCCCACTCACCAACCTGACTTCCTCCCCGTGGCACCCTGGACTTCGCTGGGCTGGGCTTGTCTGAGACTCACAAGGCTTGAGATGAACCATATACCCTTTCTGAGGCAGTCCCACAGCCATCATGGTCCCTGTGCACTGGCCTTGCAGGACCACCACCTGTCCACTTACAGGCATAGAGTCCTGTATAGTGAGGAGAGCTGGGCAGATACAGACAAACACCAGCAGTATCACGTGGGGCCCAGTGGAGTCATGGAGGACGTTGCTACCATCTTTCCAGGAGCCAAGCCTCAGAGACCCTCCCATGTCCCCATAGACTTGCACGAGGCATGAGGTGACTTAGGTGCTAAGACTCTGGCATCAAACTGCCTGGATTCACGTCCCAGCCCTGCCACTCACCAGCTATACACCTTGGGCAAGTCGTTTACCTCTCTGAATATCAGTGTCTTCATCCATAAAGTGGGAATGAAAAGAGTTAGGGAAGATAACATGTACTGTACACTGGGACAGGGCCTGCCAGACAGAACGCTCTGCAAAACTATTGGCCATTCACAAGAATATTAGACTCCATACCACCAGGGCCTGAAGCTGGAGAGATGGCATCAGTTCCTGGGGGGTGGGGGTGGGAAGAAGACTCTGGAAGTCCCAACAAAGGGGATCCTGACAGTAGGCTACGAGCACAGCTTCTAAAGCTGTGAGCGAGGCCAGCTGGGCGGGATGTGAAGCATATCCAAACAATCCCCCTCTGCCCCAAAATCTCACTATCTACATTGTATAGAGTTTGATGCTCTCCTTAGGATCCTCATTTAAAAAGCAAGTCGCCCACTCCTGGCAATTCAGAAGGCTCCACTTGAGTGTCGTAGTGCTTGAATTCCTCAGATTCTTTCCTTTCAGGAGAGGGGCAGCCTGAAGAGATGCTTGGGTACAGTAAAACCACTACTGGGGACTCTGTTGTACAAGGCCACCAGCCCTCCACATGCTTCCTGATTTGTTGACTCAGTAAACAAGAGGTCCTGCAGAGGCTGATCTGACCGGTCTGGAGACGGTAGGTGAAGGGGTAGCAGCTCCAAATGAGAAAGTACCTGGCCTGCCTGGAAGCCCCACCCAGCCTCAAATCCAGCTCCACAGCACCAGCTCCAACAGGCCAGCCCCACCCATGGAGCAATGCAGGGATCTCCTGGGCATGTGGATCCAGCACCCTACCACTCTACTCTTTGACAAAGACAGGAAGATGAGGGCACTGGAAGCCCCAGGGGCCTCCAACACTTTTCAGTGGACCCAGAGCCCAGAGAGCAGGGCTAGGAAAGACTCCCACTGCAGACCCCCTCAGTCTCCTCAAGGCTTTGTTTTTATTTATCTAAGTACCACTGTCACTTCTGCCTGCCAGGATGCCGAGGACGACAAGGCGGCTTGGCAGGAAGTCAGGAGAGGAGGGGATTCAGGCCTCTGCTATAATCCCCCATCCCAATCAAGCCACGTGACTTCTGACCACTAACTCCAGGTCCTGACTTTCATATATGGGATAAGGTTTGAGAGGCTGGGTGTCTAATGTGATGGGGTGGCTGTGTCCAGTTAGGAGTGAAAATAAGGGGTGTCAATTAACCAGTTAGGCCTGAAAGGGGTCACAAGCAAGAGGTCAGTAGGAGGCAGTCCCCTGCCCCAGATACTTGGCAGGCAGACCTCTAGCTCCTGCCAAAGGGATAGCAGAAGTGCTAAGGGTCGAATGGAGAGTGGAATGACAGCACTGGTGGCAGAAGCTGGCCTTGGGAAAAAGTTCCTGAGTATGAGTGAGGCCAAGATGGACCAAGCCAGCAGTCAGGGGCTGACGGAAAGGGGAAGTGGCCCAACCCCCTAGGAAGGAGAAGCCTGCTTCTCTAGGGCCTCCAAAGAACAGCAACAGCTACAGGGCCATCGACCACAGCTCTTCCTGTTTTATGAGTGCCTGCTGTGTTCCAGGCTTTATGCTAAGCACCATCTACCACCCTAAGCAACAGGGCCAAGAGGACAGATATGGGAGAGGCCACGACACTAGGCCTAAACCAAGAATGGCAGAGATGGCCTGGACAAATCCAGACCACAAGACAAAGACGGGCCAGCCTGGTAACCTAGGACGTAGGTCCAGGGAAGCAGAAAGGCACAGGGCTAGGCAGAGGCAGAGAGAGGGCTGAGACCCATTCATGGACTGGCTGAGCTCCTGGGGCCCAAGCCAGGCCATGTGCTGAGGTCTCCTGGCCCTGGCCCTCCTGGGCAGGGGGCAGAGGCTATAAGCATAAAGGTGCCACCTACCTTGTCAAGGCTAGAGCCATCACTCACAGTATAGGTACAATGTGCTAGAGGTTGTGCTCATCCCATCCTGGAAGATGGTGAGGCCCTACCTAGCTGGGTGGGGACTTGGTCACTGGAGGGGGGTGGGGTTTGGCAAGAACAGGAAAGTGCTGGGTGGGGGCACATCTAATCCATGTCCCCCTTGAGGGCTAACCTAGCACCAGGTCCTGAAGGTCCCAAGCCAATAGCCCTAGCCACGCTCACCCATGAAGCCTAAAGGGGTACAGTAGGGGCATCTGTTCTAGGCCTGCCCCATTCCTAGTCCAGAACAGAGAGCACTGAGGCCCTAGATTCAAGAGGAGGTGCTTTGGAAGTTGTTGCAGACAGAAGTCCCCCCAAGTCACTTGTCAGACACAGCACCTACGGGGAAAGGCCTAGGCCCAGGCCTGCTTAAAGCCAGTTCTGCCTGGGCCCATGAACTCCAGCCTCTCACTCCACCCCTGCCTCACTCACAGCATCTAGAGTACCACAGGGGGTGGTCAGAGCTCAGCCCTGGCTCACAAGGCCAAAACCTTGGTATTAAGAAGAGGCCTCTGTCGTCCCCTTGCCCACCCAGACTGTACCATGACCCTAGCAGGAGTGAAAGGGCTAAGATGGTGCTGAGGGAGAGAATGAAGACTCTCACTTCTCACTTCTTTAGCCCCATCTCCCCTCAGAAGAGCCTCCTTTTCCTTGAAGGACTCAGAGAATCCCCTGCCCGGGGCTCCAAAAGGGCCTCCCAACCCCACTCCACTGCTGGGTTCACAAGCAAAGAAGCTGTGCCTGAGACCCAGCCTCACCAGCCCTGCCCTAAGCATCTTCCAGACCCATCCTCATGATCCCCTCCAAGACCACCCTGGGGAGATGACCCCCTCTATCAGTCCTAGGGCCACTGGGAGAGACACAGGGAGCTGGGCCCAGGTCCCCTGCTCAGATACTTGCAGACTCTGTGCCCTAAATAACTCCTGTAGCCTCTCCAGGTCTGCACCAGGCCCTGTACCAATTACTCTACATGCATCATCTCATTCCAAGCTCACATCAACTCTCATCAACCCTTGAGCAGAGAAACCTGATTTCAAGAGTCCAAGACCTAGTCCAAGGTCATGGAGCTGGCAAATGCAGGCCAAAGATTAGAGCTACATTTGCAGGACTCTGTGCTTGGGCTCATAATTACAATGTCTGTAAAATGAGGAGATCCTTAGCTGTATTCTAACCTCCAGGAGCCACTCTCCTTGCCATACTCTACCTATCCATGTGGCCAGTGTTACAGGCTGCAATTAAGTAAAGTTCTCAGTGATGACAGATTCAAGAGCTTCTAGGTACGGGCCAGGGTCCTGGGCCCAGAGCTATATGACCTAAGCCAGAACTACATGGCTAGATCAGCCACCTCCAGGACTCCCTGGGCTCCACATGTATCAGTGAGGTCTTAACCAGGCCTATAGGGAGCCTATGGTATGACGTGGCTAGATGGCTGGCTGCCCTCTGCCCAGGAAACAGGGTGGGTCAGAGCTGGAGCAGGGCCGCCCCCTCTCAACATGGGTCTAGTGACTCATCTGGAGCCCGTCAGCAGCTTCCTGCCCACAGGTGCAGTGGGCGTCAGCCTTGCCCACCAGCAAGCTCCGGGAGGCTCCCACTCCAGCCTAGGCGGGCAGGGGACCCAAGAGAATGTAGCCCCACCCCAAGCTTTCGTGAGGACACAGCCTCAGGCAGAAAGAAACTCAGACCCATTCCAGTCAGAAGAGTTTCTCATGGAAGGGGCAGCCAAGCTGAGTGAGGGTCCCCCTTGGGCCCAAACTCATAGGCCCAGCCTGAAACCCAGAGCCAGAAGCCCCTCCTTCCCTGCTTCCGGGTACAGCAGGCTCTACCCACACTGACTCCACCCCTTGACCCCTTGCTCCCTGGGACACTCGGAGTTTAGCAAGGCTAAGCCTGTTTCCTCATCTGTAAAGCAGAGAGAACCGGGAGTCCAACCTTACAGAGGAGTAAGAAGATGAAATTCTGAGCATAAGAAACTTAACAGGGGCCCTGGTCATATCCTGTACCCACAGGTCTTTGCTGTTGGGCCCTCCGGGTCACCCACGCGGCAGTGAGGGGTCACTGACCTTCAGGGCACACTTCTGCCCGGTGCGCCGGTGGAAGCACTCCAGCACCTTGCCATTCACACCCAAGCCCAGCACCTGCTTGGACAACTGGTAGTCATGGGTCACTGCGTACTTCTTGGGCTCCCGCCGCCCCACAAGGGCGGGAGTGCCGGCTGAGCAAGGTTCGCAGGGTGCACCTGGTGGGGGCGCAGGGCCCCCCTGCTCCTCTGCTGTCTCGACATCCATGGCCCCCGCGGGGCGCTCAGAGGAGGCCCCAGCCTGGCGCGTCCAGGGCCACCTGGGAAAGAGAGGCAGAGTGAGTTCCGTTCAGACTTCTTCAGTACACCCCAGCCTTGGAGGCCCTGAGCCAGAGTGGGCTTCGGGTGGGGGACAGGGCTGGGAATGAGGAACGAACTGCCGCAGTGTACGGACCCGCGGCAGGGGGAGGTGGTCACGCAGCGGGGCACAGGCGAGTCCTGCCCGGCCACCTGTCAAGAGGGGAAAGGGCCGCGAGGTCCCGGGAGTGGGAGGTGGAGGGGGCCCAGGGAGGGCGTACCTGGCGAGGGCGTACCTGACGGCAGCGCACCTGGCTGCAGCGCCGGTAAGGGGCAGGGGCGGCCGTCGCCGAAGCCCGCAGCCGCGAGCGCCCAGAGCTGAGAGTCACCCCGCCGCCTGCCCACGTGACTGCTCCCCTCCCCCGCGCGTCCCCGGCTTGAGGCCGGGCTTGGTCAGCCTTAAAGGGCCAGGCGGGCCCTGGCAGGACGGGGCGGGGCGGGGCGGGGCGAGGCCCGCCTAGAGCTGAAGCAGAAATAGGGGGCGTGGCTTCTCCAGGGTGCAGAAATCTCCTAGGCTCCGCCAGCCTCCGGGGACACCCCAGCGCTAGCGCAGCCGGGTTCCGCGTGGGCTGTGCGAGCCGCGAATTTTACCAGCCACCAAGGAAGTGGCAGCACAGGAAGTCTTGTTTTTCTTGGAGTCTCAGGTAGCCCCTTGAGTCGGGTGTTTTCTCTGCACGCTGCCAGGAGGCCCTCCAGTATAATCTGTAAGGCTTGCAACTTCCTTAGTGGTGGCCCACCGCCAGCGTATCTAAAGTCTTAATTTTTGCCAACAGCGCAAGAGTGAAATAGAATTTTGTTGTGATTCGTTTCTCTCTAGCTCCTGGTGGCTCTGCGCGTCTCTCTAGCACTGGCATCTCTACCCTTCTGTGCAGCTCCTGCTCATATTCCCTTGGAATACAGCGTCCTAAGACCAGAAATCCTGAATTCCCCTTTGGTCAGATCCATCAACTTTTCACCTTATGGTTAGAGCTTTTGTGTCATGTTTAAAAAGTCTCCTCCTCCTACCACAGTGACAGATATTCTTTATTAGCTAAGTGGTTTTCCCTTCCACATTTAGGTCTCTACTCTGAGCCCATCTTAGATTACCTTATATATTGCGAACGGGTTTTCCCATCACAGACTGTTAACTCTTATTTCACAGATGAGGAAGCTGAGAACCCCCTAGAGGAAACAACTTGTCTAGAGCTGCAGAGTGTGTGGCTGTCTCCTTGGACAAATCTGCACTACTCTTGCACTTCCCTCTCGCCCCACAGCCCCGAAAGAGGTGGCTCACTTGGGACAGGGAACATGCGATTTAGGGCAAGATCCCTGTGCGAGCGAGCCTCTGCTGCCATCTACAGGCCACTAGCAGGACTGCAGGAACCGCAGCCTCTGTCCCACCCGTAGGTAACTCCTCTGTATACCTAAGTATCCAAAGGTATCTTCTGGCTTCGGAATTGGGGCCCAGCGAGCTCCCTGCCCCTAAGCCCCAACACACACATGCATGTGGATGCACGTGGATGACTGGGCAGAAGCTCCAGGAGAACAGGCACCCTCTGTGTGCAGGCATTGAGCTGGATGAGGGTGTGAGGGGCTCTTCCCTCTCTCCTTGAGGCGACCTTCAAGCTAGGAAGGTTCAGTAAAGCAGAAGCCCAGATGACAGCCTCAACTAAGCGTACTGAGCTCTTCTTTTGGACCAGACACTGGGTAGATGCTCTATCTGGGCACCCCATGATCGCACTGGGACTGGAGGAGGGAAGGCAGTACCAATCCCGTGCAGCCTACACCAGACACACGAGTGACAAGCCCTGAGAGGTCAAGAGACCTGCCTGAGGTCAGTAGCTACCATGGCACAGCCCCTATCCCAACCCCCAAAGAACAACTCCAGGGCCCAGCTCTCACCCTCAAACTATGCCTTCCGCTCCTGTGCCTCCCCGCCCCACTCCCACATCCACATGTACACATTCTCACACATGTTCACACACATGCAATCACACCTTTACACATGTGCACATATGCACACAGAGATACACAGGCATACACATGCACACAACACACACACATTTATGCCTAGCTGGAGCCAGGACCTCTGTCCTTGAGCCCCACCTGAGAATCTGATCCAAGATCTCAGAGCCTTGCGGGAAGCCCTGTGATCCAGAAGCTACCACTGCTTGAAGGCTTGGAGACTAGAGAAGGATTCTCCTTCTCCTATGGAGATGACTGGTTTGAGCCAGGTGAACCCAAAGCTGAGCAAGATCTCATTCTGGACAAGCAAGGCCCCACTCATAAGCAGGGGTCTAGAGAGCTGAGGGTGGAGGCTGGCCACTTGTCGTAGCCAAGGTCATCTCTGCGTGCTGTGATCTCTGAGCTATCTTATTTTCTTAAAATGGAGTTAGATTACAATTGTTCTAACATTTTTGTATTTGTATTTTTTTTGACCACAAAAAAATCTATATTTTTATATTGGAGGGAGGGAGTAGAAAAGAAAGTAGCCCCTATACTGGGCCCTATTCAGTGGCAGCTTTTTGTTCCATAGGGTTAAGGAAGACTTTGAGGAAATAAAAGTCGTTTGGACAAATCCAGGTGTAGTTGCTTTGTATATTGTGATGGGTAGAAGGGACGAAGTGAAGGGTGAAGGCCCCTCACACGCTCCATATTGCCTCAGACTATGTCCTGGAAACTTGAGGTGGAGAAAGCGCCACTTTCATTCCTACATCTTGGGACTGTTGATGGCCATGTAGTGATAGAGAACGACAAGCAGGTTGGCGAAGATGGCCAGCTGCACATCCATGATCATGGCTGATCAGCTGGGCTTGGCTCCGACGTGGCCTGCACACTCTATCTGTATTTTTTAAACTGGTCTCTCTTTATTAAAAATTTTAATTGCATAAGCAAAACTTGCTTGTTATAATAAATTCGAACCATATAGAAATGTAAAAAGTAAGGAATGACAATGTCTCTCCTCTTGCAGTGTCCATACCAAGGCCAGTGCTTACACAAACACACACGTGCCCCACATGGGTTCATCATAGACACGTGTTTTGCAGCTGACCCAGGGGAGTCAGAATGCATGGTTTCCCCTCGCTGCTCATGTTCCAGCAAGCATCTGCCACCTGCAAATTGATGGGAGGATTCAGTATTGGGGATGGCTCGGCCAGGGCAGGTGGGTACATGGTGGCTAACTCTGCCACACAGCTCTCCATGAGAGCTGTATGTTCAAGGGGATGAGGGCTGAGAACTTTGGAACAGCTTACAGTGACCAAGGAATCCAGTGAGTGCCTGGGTGGGGTGGTAGGGCAGCTGAAACCACTCTCTCAACACACACACACACACACACACACACACACACACACACGTAGACGTGTGGACTATTCTTTGGGGAGAGGAGAGGCTGCACATATGAAAGTTTACAGACTAAATGAGCCAGACCTTGAGGAAGGCACTGCTGTATATTATTGTGACCCATTTTGTGTCTGTTCTGGGTGGGGAAGGGCAGAGAGATCCTGCAGCAAGAATCTCGGGTGCACGGGAGGGGTTTTTCTGGAAGGAAGAATCCATGGAGATGTGGCACATGAAACTATGAGAGGAATTGCCACTGGGTGGCAGTGTGGGCCCAGCAATCAGGGCAGGAGAGGTGACAATTACACGGCCAGAGGCAGGCACCTCAGGTAAAACAAAGGCACACCACTCTTCCCAGTATTCAGGGGAGGTGCATAGTGCTGTCAAATTTACAAAGGGCAGTTGGAGGGCAAAACCCTTGGGTCCTTTAGTTTACACACAGAACTGCACAATCACTGACTTCTGTAGGGGGCGCTTTCAAGGGGACACCTGTGGTGCCCTGATGTTGACTGTCCTGGAGGCAGGGAAGCTTCACTGAGGACCTGAAAGTTGGATCCTGAAGGATGTCTAGGAGTTGGCTTATAATAGGAGCCTAGAGAGGAACTGGGGTTGGGGTTGGGCCTGTGAGATCTAGGGTATATTTTACCCTCTCTATGCCTCACTTTTATCACCTGTAAAGAGGGGACAATATGTAGTAGTTAGGCAATGAAATGGGGCTGGAAATTGCTGAGAGCATCTGCCACATAGTAAGCATTCAGTAAAGTAATCACAGTTAGAGGGAAAGGGCAATCTCGGGGTAGAGAGCTTGGGATTTGTCACCAGGGGGACCAAGGTTCAAATCCAGCTCTGTTGCTTGGCAGCTGTGAAGCCCCTTTGTTTTCATAGTAATGTGGAGCAGTAGACAGTTCCTACTGGAGAAACGGCACCTTATACAGGGGCTCCATGCTGGGCTCTCCAGATGCCCCAGCCATCAAAGTGGTAATGAGGTCTCCACACCCATCTCCACCCCATGCAAGCAGCTTCTGGCCTACTCAGGAGGACTGGTGGGGCGACACTGAAGCTCAACTTCCCTTCAGGAAATTTTCAGAGAAGTGGGTTTCCTGAAGTCATTTCTCATCTTAACCAGTTTATTTTGTCATTTTGTCCTGTTTCACGGGGTTTTGCTTTTGGACCCCCTCTGTCTTCCATCCCCTCCCAGGCAGGGCAAGCTCAGCCCTGTCTGCCTTGGGAAAACCTGGATACTGCCATTTAGGCTTCTGGACCCTGCCAGGAGTCTGTCATCCCTGCTAGGGGATCTGAAGCTTACCTTCTTTCTGGGAACCTGGGAGTACACACCGGAAAGTTGGAAGGGGGGAGTGGACCCTGCCACTTCTCCAATTCTCTCCCTCTCCTTCTGGTCCAAGGGCTTAGAGGAGGTGTGTGTAGCCCTTATGGTCTTTCAAGATGTTCCCTGGTGAGTCCAGTGAACTGGGAAAAGGTGGAGAGGATCAAGGGTAGGAGCATGGGCTTCTGACTTTTGTTCCCTGGGGCTCGGCATAATGGGGGTAATACCAGCTGTTGAGAATCAAATGTATCAAGTGCTCCATGTAGATGGGAGGGGGTGTCACTGATCCTTCTCTCTACCGTTACCCCCCATCTTCAGTTTATCTCTGGGTGTTTGGAGCTCCAGGTCTCTCTCTCACATTTTTAGGGAACCCACCAACCCAGAGACACATGTGAACTGTCCTGTGGGGTGAGCTGGGGGCCTGCCTGCCCCTCAAGTCGGTAGTCATTTCTTCCCTGATTAGAGGGCCGGCCAGAGGACAGGCTGGGGCCGAGACTGGATGGCCCTGCCTGGTGCAAAGGTTGGGATGGTGCCTTCTCCCCCAACTCTCAGTGAAAACGTTCTCGCCTGGATCCTCTTGGCTGTGGTGGCCGCAGGCTTGACCCCCGTGAAGCTGCGCGTATCTGAGTACTCCCTCTGTACCCCTTCCCTCCCCTAATGTCCCTCTCCAAACCACACCCTTTGCTACCCACCTCCCCGGAAACAGAGTCCAGGGGTCCAAGTGCAGCCCACAGGGGGCCCCCGCACACCAGACAGACCGCCTTGGAGGAGCCGCTAGCTGGGCGGACAGGCCGGTGACCGCGCCCTCGTGCTGCCACCGGTTCTACAGAGAGATAAGGGGGCCTGTTCCCAACGAAGCGGAGTGCCCGAAAGAAATCTGGGCTCCGGTAGGTAGAGCACCTGCCCCTCCCTAGCCCTTTTCAACCTGGACTTTCCCTAATGTTCTCTAGGTCACTCTCAACCCGGCTTGGTCACGTCAGCCTCGGGTCCAAGCGCTGTAATTGGCCCTGCGTGACCACTCGGCTCCACCTCCTGCGCTGCGATTGGTCGGCGCGCGGAGCCCCGCCCCATTTTCCTGGAAAGTTCTTGGAACTCTGTCAAAGGTGTTTCCTTTAGCGGCCCTCGGCCGCAGACCAGGGAACCGACTCCCTCGCCTGCACCCCTCCCCGCCCGGCCGCACAGCCGGCGGTTCTAGGAAGACGTCGCTTCCGGGAAGGGCTGGGACACAGAGGACAAAAGATTAGGCTGCTCGCCCCGCCCTCCCGGCCCGCCCCACGCGCCCTCCCGGCCGGCCCGCGCCGCCACCTCTCAGTCCCGACCCGCCGCTCGTGCGCCCCAGGAGCCTGCCTTGCGAGCGCGACCCGCGCCCCCTGGCTCCCTCCAGCAGCCGCCGTCAGGCCGAGCCCCAGCTCCGGAGCAGCCGCTGCCGCTGCCGTGACATGGTCCTCTGCGTTCAGGGGTAAGCGCGGCTCTCCGCCCCCGCCCAGCTCTGCGCCGGCACGCGGCAGAGTACTGGCCTCGTGCTAGCTGCCGAGCATTAAGAGGGCTTGACCGGTCGGAAATGATCGAGCGCGGAAAGACCTCGAGAGAGAAAACAGGGAAGGGTGACAACATCGTCACCACCTCTACTGGCACTGAGGGTAGGGAAACTGGGGGTTGGCTGGCGACAGGAGAAACAGGGTGGGCTAAGCGTGGGAGAAGGTAGACGCCTCAGGCAGCGCGTCCTCCAAGGCGTGGCTCACCTGCCCAGCCGTCTGGGCCCGGAGCGCTCTATCCTAGCCTGCCGGCCCAACAGTCTACTGTGACCTTGGGCCAGCCCCTGCCCTTCTCTGTCCTGTCATCCACTCTCCTGCCTCGGCTAGCAATTAGGCTGTTCTTGGGAAGCCAGCCTGAGATCCTTGCCTCTCCCCTGGTTGGCACCTGCTGAACAAGCAGCTGTTGGGAGAGCCTAGGTTTGGCCCAGTCCTGCCTGAGGTACCCCCACAATGTCCTCAGCCCTCCTCTCAGCCCAAAATGGGATCCCAATGTGAGAAGGACCTTGGCTCCTGCCTCCCTTCTCCAAGTTTCCCAAAATGTGGGGGTGGGATGGGGACTGATAAGACAGAGTCTTGGCCTCAGCTGAGCATTCTTGGCACAGTCCTTCTGGCCAGAGCCTCAGGATCCCCTTCAACCAAGGGTCTGATGCTCTCCCAACTGATCTGACAGGAGCTCAGAAAGTTCCAGGGAGAATGAAAGAAGATGTGAATGGGTGCTCCACAGCAGGGAAAGCAAGATTTTTAAGACCTACACACACACACAGCCATAGACCAGCTGGTGCCCTCCTGAGGTAGGGTGCAGGGATTCCCAATTGTAGGTATGGGTTGTCAGCTTTGCTGAGGGATCCCCGCTCAGGGCTGAGTTTGCCTCATTGGCTTATGTGCCCAGGCAGAACTCACAGGCTGGGCTCCACAGCAGGCACACACACATACTGGCCACCCACACCTGGAACATAACAGCCACTGCCACGACAATGACACCTCCCATACTCCTAGAAGGCTCCTGGGCCTGAGCTGAGCTCTGGGTTCCAGCAGGCAGGCCATCAACCAGTTCCTTGAAACTCAGCCTCTAGCTCCCCAACAGGGATTCCAGAGCTCCCGTAGTACAGCCAGGGTAGGGGTGGAAAAGTATTAGCAGGCTGTGGTATGCTAGGGTCTTATGGCCCCTTCTCTTGAGTGGTCACGGGCCCCTGATTTGTTAAAATCTTCTAAGAGTCACCTATAACCTACACTGTATAACTTACACTGTCAGATCTGGTTCCTCTGCCTGACTCCTGCTGCCGGTTCCTGCCCACCTCTTCCTGCCTCGTAAGCAGTACCTGTCAGTGTTTACCCATACCATCATCTCAGCCTGCGGTGCCTTCCCCGCTACTCCTTCCTTTAGCCTGGCAGACTCAGCTCAGGAACAGGCAGACCCTGACTTCCCCCTAACATTCTTTGCTTTTATGACTTTGGGTTATGAGTTCTCCTTTAGGGTAGGGCCCAGGGTTTCATTATTTGGTGTCTTGAGGCCAGCGGAGAACCAGACCCAAGACCCGAGGATTTATTTTGTGATGAGTGAGTGGGAGAGGACCAGCAGTCTCTTCCTTGGAAACCAGGGCCATGCCCCTCAATCCCAGGAAGCCCCAGGATCACCATGCTGGGTGGGCTTCCCCTAAAGGGAAGCTACTGCTCAGATTGGGGCCAGTTCAGCAACCCAACTCTAGCCATCTGAAAATATGGTGTGACCGAACCCCTCAGTGTCTGGGCTAGTAGGACCCCTCATTGAGGAGGGGAAACTGACGTCTAGTGAAGAACAGTGTTTGCATAAGATCATAGTGCCTCGTAGGGCAGGCTCGTCAGGGTAGGATCTGGAATGTGGGATGAGTACCCTGCCCTTTGGTGGGAGCTCATATTTATGGGAGGTGGGACTTGTCAGTGCCTTTAGAGGCCACTGTCTATCCTATACCCTCAGCTGGGAGGAGGAGAGAACAGGATGGGTGTCTGACCTGTTTGGGGATATTATTCCAGCCCCTAAGCCCTGGCCAGTGTGGACCTAGGTCCCTTTGACAGATACTCCTATCTATGGGGAGGTAGCATGTGACCAATCCCTCGGCTCAACCAGGACAAGTGCCATTTAATTGGCCCACCACTGCCAGGAGGGCACCACTGTGAAGCCTCTTTGTACTGGATCCTGTCAGTGTGGTGAGAACACCAACTGGCCACTGTGAGCTAGAGATGCCTATAGAGAATGAAGTGTATTTGGTTGGTGCAAAATAGAGAGATTACAGTTGACCCTTCGTATCTGCAGATGCGAAACCCATGGATATGGAGGGCCCAAAGTATTCACTGTGCTACGCCATTCATATAAGGGACTTCAGCCTCCGCAGATTTTCGTATCCACGGGGGCTCCCATAACCAATCCCCCGCGGATACTGAGGGATGACTGTAATTACTGTTTAACAAATGCAGAAGGGTGGAGAAGTCTCTTTCAGAAGAGGGTTCATATGTGGGGGAAGTAATCAAGGGGCCTTTTGTGATGACAAGTGGGAGGTGGGGTACTGGTCTCATTGAGCCCGTGGGTGGGCAGAGGGGAAACTAGGACTCATAGTGAGATAGACTGGCCAGAGGTCACATAGCCAGTCTGGGGCAGAGGGGATCTCTGGAAATGGGGAGAGCACAGGGCCTCCACTCAGCGCCCATCCACCTCTTTCTAGACCTTGTCCTTTGCTGGCTGTGGAGCAGATCGGGCAGCGGCCCCTGTGGGCCCAGTCCCTGGAGCTGCCCGAACCAGCTATGCAGCCTTTACCTGCTGGTGCCTTCCTGGAGGAAGCAGCAGAGGAGTCCCCAGCCCAGCCAGAGGGTGAGCCCAAGGTGCTGGACCCCGAAGAAGATCTGCTGTGCATAGCCAAGACCTTCTCGTACCTTCGGGAATCTGGTGAGTCTGAGGAGGGAGGCAGGACTTGTCCTGAAGTCTGATGGGGAAAGTTTAGCTCTGCCTGTTGTGTCTAATTTGAGAGGCATGGCTCTGGCCAGAAGAGTCTGATGGGAGAGAAGGGGTACAGCACTCCCCAGGGAGATGTGAAGAGAGAGGCTGAGCCCTGCCTTGCCCTGGGTTGGTGCACCCAACTAATTTCCACTGTGACCAGTCTCTTAGCCCCCTCTCCACTTGCCTAGGCTGGTACTGGGGTTCCATTACGGCCAGTGAGGCCCGGCAACACCTGCAGAAGATGCCAGAGGGCACATTCCTAGTACGTGACAGCACCCACCCCAGCTACCTGTTCACATTGTCGGTCAAAACCACCCGTGGCCCCACCAACGTGCGCATTGAGTACGCCGACTCCAGCTTCCGCCTGGACTCCAACTGCCTGTCCAGGCCGCGCATCCTGGCCTTCCCAGATGTGGTCAGCCTTGTGCAGCACTATGTGGCCTCCTGTGCTGCAGATACCCGAAGTGACAGTCCTGACCTTGCAACCACCCAAGCCCTGCCTACCCCTAAGGAAGATGCACCTGGTGACCCAGCACTGCCTGCTACTGCTGTACACCTAAAACTGGTGCAGCCCTTTGTGCGCAAAAGCAGCACCCGAAGCCTGCAGCACCTGTGCCGCCTCGTCATCAACCGTCTGGTGGCTGATGTGGACTGCCTGCCACTACCCCGGCGCATGGCTGACTACCTCCGACAGTACCCCTTCCAGCTCTGACCCAGCCAAGCAACCGCCTAGCCTCACCCAGCCAGACCCTGGAGGGGACACCGACTCCAGCTGGACTTGGGCTCCCACTATCCCTCCTCCAGTCCTCCTGGTGCCACATGCATCTGGCAGCTGGACCAGGAAGGGTCTGCAGGAACAAGGCTGGGGGTGAGGGGTAGGGAGGAGTGTCACACGACTTGGAGGTCAGCGCCCCCAGCTCCCATGTGGCTCCATTGTGGTGGGCCATGTGACAGAAGAGGGGACTGGCAGGACCTCGTCTCACCCTGTGGGCTGGGCCCAGGCCCCAACTCACCTGCTGTGGCCTCCTGAACTGCGTAGACTTGGCCGGCCCTGGTTTCTCAGTCCACAGGGTGGGGCAGGCCCCCTCCTTTCAGCCAGCCTCTGTCTCAGGGGGGATGGCAGCCAGAGGAACTGAGGTTGACACTGACAGTCCCCTTCTGCGGGAGCAGGCCAGGCTGGGGGACGGCACAGTTATATAGTATTTATTTATTTATTCTCCTTGGGTTGGAGAGCCAACCCCACCTCTCTGCCTGAGCCCTGAGTGCTCCAGAGACCCCAGCCCTGCCTCAGCTTCTCTGGTTCCTCCCAGCCGAGAGCCTCTTCCTGAGACGTGTTGCTGGACCCAAGGCAGTCCTGGGTGTCCTGGCGCTGACCCACCCACCTGTGAAGGTGTCCACCCTCTTCTGCCTCCAGCCCTGTTTTGGGAGGATGGGTGAATAAACAAGAAAAGAGAGCCAAAGTGTTAGCGCCTTGCAGAGCCTGCTACTCACCCCCTTGCAGGGCAGAGCCCTGTCTGCACAGAGCTGGTCTCGCTGGGGCACAGGCCCTGCATGAGTGTGGGTGCCGTGTCAGGGAGGAGCATGGTAGTTTGAGGGCTGCCACTCCACCTCTGATGGGTCTGCTTCCTGCCCAGGAAGGTGCCTGCACATGAAAGAAGGAAAGAAAATACATATCTGATAAGACTTTATAAAATAATTATTTCTAAAAAAAAAAAAAAACCCACAGTTTGGTAGTCATTTTTTTTTCACTGATTTTTCTGTAATGACAATAAAATTGTACCTTTCATTTATGGAGCCCTCAGTGGGGCCTCTTTTGAGTTGTACACAGTTTGTCCCCTTTGATCTTACTATCATTATCCCCCACTTTACATCTGGGTCAGCAGAGGCCCAGAGACCTATGTGGCAGAGCAGGCCCTGCTAGGGCACCCAGTAAAGAGTGGAGGGGATAGCGAGAAGCCTTTCTTCACTCATTCCCTATTTTCCCCTTGGAGGGTGGGATGCAGGAGATGAAGGCCAGTTGGATTGCCTGCAGGGTCACTGCCCAGTGTCAGGTGGGGGGTGGTGGCAGAGGAGCACCAGGTCGGAGAGATGTGTAAGTGATGTCAATTAAAGATTGAAAGTGGAGAATACTAGGGGGATGGGGACTGTGGACTACTCCTGGGGGCAGCGTCTTTTGAGATGAGGAGACCAACAATCAGAGAAGTCAGGGCCAGTCATTCCAAGGAGAAGGTACAGGGCATGCAAAGGCACCAGGGCATGACTGGGAAGCTTATATTCCTGACCACAAGGAGGCCTGGGGAAGGGTCATTCTGTGCAGTGGAGTGGAACAGTTGAGTTGTGGATAGTGGCCAGTAAGCTGGCAGGGTCTGGCCTGGGATGGGGCTAATGGGGCTCTGGTCTAGGCTGATTGGGGTTTGGGTACTCTCTCACTCAGGGTCCTGCATATCAGAAGTAGGTGAAAAAGCAATTAAAATGAAAACGCTCTCCATCATCTGATGGTCTGCCTTTGGAGCACTTCAGCACCTGGAATCCCACTATGTCCTGAAATTTTCTGCACCTTTACTTGAGTAACTCACAGGAATGCTCCTGTGAACCTCATTCATAGCCTTTAACCCTTATTTTAGAAACAGTTCTAACCTTTCTATCTTCTTAGCCCTTAGACAATTAAAAGCTGCAGATTAGAAAAGGCAAATGTCGGCAGATTGAAGGCAGGAAGGTGTGAGGAGTGACAATGTTGATGAGGAGGAGGAGGCAGGAAAGGATAAAAATCAAGAACTATGGGGCTTCCCTGGTGGTGCAGTGGTTGAGAGTCCGCCTGCCGATGCAGGGGACGCGGGTTCGTGCCCCGGTCGGGGAAGATCCCACATGCCGCGGAGCGGCTGGGCCCGTGAGCCATGGCCGCTGAGCCTGCGCGTCCGGAGCCTGTGCTCCGCAACAGGAGAGGCCACAACAGTGAGAGGCCGGCGTATCGCAAAAAAAATAAATCAAGAACTATGGAGGCACAGAACCTTGGGGGCACGGAGATAGTAGTGGGAAAGAATGGAGCTGATGTTGGGTGAGAGTGAGCAAGAAGTGGGTGAGGGCTGTCTTTATCGGAGTGGTGCCCAGGCCCACGTGTCCCGCCTGGTGCCTTCTCCATTGCTGGCTGCAGGGCCCAACAAACACCTCCTCCAGGTCACCATGACCCTGCCAGGGATGTCTGCAGTTCCTCATTGTTTCAGCCTGGATCCCAGCCCCTTGATGACTCCCAAAATACCTGAGGTGACCCCTCTGTCTGCTCCACCCCGAGATCTGAGTCACCCAGTGGGTGGGTAGCAGACACAGAAGGGCCAAAGGCAGGCTCTTCACCACCTGGTGCCATGACCCAGACAGAAAGTGCTGGAGCAGGAGGAAGCCCTTCGTTGTCCACAGAGAGGACACGTCTCAGGGTGCCCACCGGGTGCTGGCAACAGACAAGGGCTTTGCACCTCATGTAATGCTCACCACAACCCTGGGAGTAGGTCTAAATATTACCCATATTTCACAGATGAGGAAACTGAGGCCCAGAGGGGGCAAGGGACTGGCTGAGGAGGTGAGGCACAGAGCAGAGCTAAGCCTGAGGGGTCCTGACTGCCCACCTGCCCCTGCACTGCTACATGAGGTGGCGAGGACGGGCAGCTGGGGTAGGGGGGCAGCTTTCAGGTGAGTTGTTCTTGGATGCTGGCTTTATCCCCTCGCGTTCCTGCCTGCTAAGGTCTCTGGAGCCACTGGCCTGACCAAAAGGGTCCTATCCCATTCCCCGTCGCCTCAGCCCAAGCCAGGGTCCAGCTCTTGCCTGAGGAGGGCCTACAGCTACTTCTGACCCCCGATACTTTTCTGCTTCAATCTTTTTTTTTTTTTTTTTGGCTGCACCGCGCAGCATGTGGGATCTTAGTTCCCCAACTAGGGATCGAACCCACAGCCCCTGCCTTGGAAGCACGGAGTCTTAACCACTGGACCGCCAGGGAAGTCCCAATCTGCTTCAATCTTATTTTCATGTTTCCCTACCAAGGGAGTGAGTGACGCCTAGTTAGAACAGGATCAGTGGAGAGCATGTCATCGGGCCCCAGACCCAAGTCAGAGACCCAGCCTAACAGATGCTGAAAATCCTCTGGTCACTGCAATCACCCCTGGGTGGTTCTGGGCTGGTGAAAGGAGCACACCTACCAGCACTGACGGAGGAGGAAGAAAGGAGCTGACTGGAGGGCGCACAAGACCCTGCACAACATACAAACAATAACTGATGGTAACCCTTTACCAATTAAGTCCTTCACCAGCACACGTGCTCTTTGGGCACAAACTGGGCCAGACTCCATTTGGGCCCTGGGGACACAGCAGGGAATACGATGGACACACTCCCCATCCTTGTGGGACTCATGGGCTGGTAGGCGAGAGATAAACAAGTAAACAAATGGGCACTCAGGATGAGTTTTGAGAGTGAAATGAAAGCAAAGCAGGAGGCGGGGAAGAAAGTGCTTTGGGTGTGGGGACACTGCTGCCGATGAGAGGGTCAGGGAAAGCTCTGGAGCAGGGTGGCACTGAGCCTGGACACCCGAGCAAAGAGCAGGAACTGGCTATGCAGACAACTTAGAGAAAGGACACCCCAGGTGGAAGGAGCTCCAGTGCAATGGCCCTGAGGCAGGAACAAACCTGGTGTGACCAGAAGATGGCTGGCTGCCCAGGAGGGCTGAGGAGACAGAGGGTGGGTGGAGAGGGCAGAGGGTGCACATGGATTGTGCTCTGGTGCAGTGCAGCGCCCCTTCAGTGTTTAGCAGGGACAAGCTATGATCCAGTGCTCAGTTCTAAGGAGTGAACCTGTCAGCTGGGGGTGGGGGGGGTGGCGCCACAAGGGCCCGGGGGGCCAGAGGCCAGAAGGAGGTTGAGAGGTATGGGATATGGAGGAGTAGGGTGTGGTGGAGAGCAGAGGAGGCGAGGTGATCCTGGGTGCGGCTCGTGCCCCATTAAGTTCTCACTGCAGCCTTGCACACCAGCAGAGGTCCCCATTTACAGCAGAAGAGGTAAGACTCAGAGAGAGGTGGTGGCTTTTTCAGGGTCACACAACTTGTGAGGGGCAGAGCCGGGGTTCAAACCCTGACTCAAGACCTCGTTTGTATAAACTGTTGCTCTGCTCTGCCTCCCAGGGGCTGGCATGCTAAGGCCTTGGCCCTCACAAGGCACTGGGGACATGTAGAAGGCCAGGCAATTCAGGAAGGCTTTTTGGAGGAGGGGGGCTGGGGACTGCCCTAGAGGATTCTGTCAGGCCACGGGGAAATGGGTTTGCAGATTGATCCTACGTGGTGTCCATCCTCGGACTCACGATGCCCCTCTGGAAAAATTCTGGGACAGAGATGCCACTAGGCCATTCAGGTTTCTCTTGTCAGTCAATGAGAGGTCTTGCTGGGAGGCTTCACCCGTGATCACCGTATGTCCTAACACGCCCTGAACCATTGGGGTCTCTGCACCTGGGCCCAGCTTCTAATCTGCCAACTGAGCAAATCTTGCTGGATCAAGGGCAAACATGGGTCTGAACAGGTCTGGGGACATGGCCAGGCTGGCTCCACTCTCAGATGGGAACCCTCCCACCCAGCACAGCTCCACAGTGAAACAGAGGAGCCAAGAGCCTGAAATAAGTCCTAATCAAGAAGGCAGGAGGATTCTGGGACCTCACAAAGGCCCTCTTTCTTCAGGAGAAGTGGAGCCTGCACAGGCCTGGGCAGCCCTTTCATACCAACCTGTTAGACCAGTTTTAATATAAAGCAGGTTGGAGCTTTGCCAGAAATTCAACAGCCTCTCCTGGTGAAGGTGTCCTCCCCATGCCAACTGCAGGGTATGGGCCCCCTCCCCAGCTTAGGCAGGCTGCACAGCCACCACCCAAGGGGCCATTCCAATGGTCACTCTGGGGCAGCAGGCTGGGGCTCCCACATCTGATACTTAAGACAGGAGGTCCCTGGAGGTTTACTCCTGGCTAGCATTTCCCTCCAACCCTGGTTTTACCCCCACCTCCCCTCCAGTCTGGATTATGTGCTGTACACTTGGTTTGGGGGGGGCTGTTTCCCTCAACCTCACTGAACCTCATAAGATTCCTTAGCTATGAAATGGGGAGAGTGACAGCACGTCTCTCAGAGGGGACATGGGGGGCCCAGGAGGATTTATAAGTTGATACTGAGGAGAGCCTGAGGGTTCAACCTGGCAGCTGCTGCAGCTGTCACTGTAACTATTCCTTGTCCCTTGTTTTAATCCCATTTGAGAGGTGGGCAGGGCAGGGTTTTTTTTTTTAGGCTGCGTCGGGTCTTAATTGCAGTATGTGGGATCATCATTGCGGCACGCGGGCTCTTCGTTGCAGCTCACAGGCTTCTCTCTAGTTGTGGCGCGCAGGCTCCAGGGCACGTGGGCCGTGTAGTTGTGGCGCGCAGGCTCCAGAGTGCGTGGGCTGTGTAGTTGCGGCACGTGGGCTCTCTAGTTGAGGCGCACAGGCTCAGTAGTTGTGGCATGTGGGCTTAGTTGCCCCATGGCACGTGGGATCTTAGTTCCCCCACCAGGGATCAAACCCGTGTCCCATGCATTGGAAGGCGAATTCTCTACCACTGGACCACCAGGGAAGTCCCCGGACAGGTGTTGATGTCCCCTGAGGTCCCCATGGGAGCTACAGGGGAGCTGGCTGGAACTCCCTGGAGCTATAAGCAGCCCCTCACCCCACTAGCTTTGATGCTGCCCTGCCAGCCCAGCCCTCCACCTTCAGGCATCATTTGCCAACCGAGGCCTTGGGTTCCAGTCATGGTGAATAGACCCTTTGTCTGGTCTCTGCATGGGCTGGGGTGGAGGCTAGACCAGCCTAACCTTCTAGCAACTTCCCTTGCAGCTCCAGTAGAGACTAGGCCATCTGCTACCCTTGTCCACACCAGGAGGATGGGTCTCCCTCAGGCCTGTTACTTTCCACGCCCTCGGTGGTCTGTGCCCTCAGAGGTGAGCCACAGGTGAGGGAGGTGAGCTGGGTAGCACCTCTGGGTCTGTCCCATTTCAAAGCTGCAAGCCTGAGACCCAGAGAGTCAGGCTAGCTTGTCCACAGTCACCCAGAGAGGAAGTGGCCATACAGGGCTGGAGCCCAGGGCTTTGAATCCCAGGTCAGGGCCTGTCCCCCTCACCCTAGAACTCTTGAACTTGAGTCTGCTGCCTTCTGACTAGGAACATGAACAGCCTGGTTCAAGGCCCTCCAGACTCCCCCTGTCCAGACCTGGACTCTTCACTGTCCCCTAGACATGCCTCCACTCTCCCCCCATCATGCCTCCACAGCCCCCACATGCGCCCCCCACCTGTTGATCTCCACGTCTGTCTACCTTGCCCCTGGTCCTTCTCAAGCTGCTCTCCTGCTGCTCCCCATGGCTGCCTTGCCCAGATCTAGCCTTACCATCACTCACCAACCTGAATGGACCATCCTAATGGCCTCCTCACTGGCTCCCTCAGCCCTACCACCATCTCCAGAGTGAGGGGCTTGCAAACCCAAACTTGTCCTGCCTTCCTCATTTAGTGATATTCACAGGCTCCCCTCATATCTTGCTTGTGCCTTACCCCAGGCTCCAAGACATGGATTCCCAAACTGCCAACAAGCCATTTCATTCTGCTTCCCTCCAAACAGCCCTCCACATACCAGGATATCATTCATCCTGGAACGTCCTCTTCCTCAGTTGTGCCAGGGCAAACTCTTACTCACCCTTCAAAGTCCAACTCAAATGCTCCTTTTCTGAGAAGTCTTCCTTAACTTCTCCTGCATTTATTCATGCCTGTGTTGGGCACCCACTGCATCCTAGGGAATCTCCCTGGAGCCCGAGTTTTCCCAGGTCTCTTCAGCCTGGGGAGTAGAAAACATACTTTCCATAACAAATTCAAAACAGCCATTCTTTGACTAAATATCTCTCTCTCACACACATATACACCATGCTTCCCATGAAAGTCTCCTGGGGATGTCTTTGAAGAGGCAAATTAGCCAAGTGGAAAGAACTCAGGCAGAGTTCAAATTTCAGAGCCTCCAAAATCACTGTAGGATCTCAAGCGAATGGTTTAGCTTCTTGGAGCCTCAGTTTCCCCATGTCTTTTTTTTGCTGAGTCGCAGGTGAGGTGGGCTCTGGCTCCCTCTTTCCCCAGCCAAGCAGCTGCCTCCTCCACAGCTCCTCCTTGGAGCGCAAACAGCCAAGAGCTCTTTTTTTTTTTTTTTTTCTGTCCACTCCGCATGGCATGTGGTATCTTAGTTCCCTGACCAGGGATCGAACCCACGTCCCCCGCATTGGAAGCACAAAGTCTTAACCACTGGACTGCCAGGGAAATCCCAGTTTCCCCATCTGTCTAACAGAGATAGTGGAAGTGCCCTGCCACAGGGTGGTTGGAGAGTGGCTATGCCTAGTTTTGGGGGAATACGGGGTGAGTAGAAGCTGATGCTCATCTCTGAGCAGGAGATGTGGCAGGCCCAAAGCAGGAGGAGCCTTTTTGTGTGGCCAAAGCTTTATGCTCAATGGAAAGGCAGTTGCTTCCATGACTCAGGCCTGGTTGAAGCAGGCAGGGCCCAGAGTGCAAGAAGTGGCCTCTGAGGGCTGAGGGAACTTGGGATGGCCACAACTCCTCCAGGCAGTCCTCTAGGACTGTTTCACTGCACAGTCCCCGCTAGGGAGATCCACACTCTGATGATGTGGCTGGAAGGGGAGTGGCACCCAGCAAATGCTCCCCAGGCACAGCCCTGTTCCAGGGACTCCCCACACCCAGCGCCGATGAGCCAGACTGGGCCCTTCCTGTCACCAGAGCCGGGCTCCTCCTCCATCAGAGGTGAGGACTTCACTCATAGTTTGGGTTGGGCCAAAGCTTTGTTTTTAAAAGTGCTTCTCGCCTCTCAGCCTTCTCCTAAGAAGCACTTCTCCCCTCCCCACCCCCACCAGCCCTACTTCTGAGCAACATCAATGTGTGTGTGTGTGTGTGTGTGTGTGTGTGCGCGTGTGTGTTGACCTTTCCACTTGGCCAACATTCCTTTGTATTTCTCAGCTCCTTTGGGTAGATGGCCATGGTAGGAGGAGTTGTTAGGAGAGCAGGTTCTCAGGAAACCTTTTCTCCAAAACCATAGAAACATGGAGCCCAAGGAAACACTAGAAAATGAAGGCTTATCCAGAAGGAGATGGGTTTCCGGAGCAGTTAGAGGAGTGTGAGTAAGAGAAAAAGAGAGCTCTAATGCCAGTGTGAGTGCATGCGGGGTCTGGCCTCTGGGCATCCTTGCGAGGTCAGTGTTGTCAGCCTGGCATCTAGTGGGCAGGCTGAGCTTAGGCAGGCAAAGCTGGGTGACCCTGGGCAGATTGCTTTATCTCTCTGAGCCATACATGTCTTAAAGTAGACCAAAGTCCTGGGTTTGCTGTCAGTGCGATCAGCTCATACTCTCTCTACCCCAGAGGTGCTCAGACTGGGTCTCTATAGCCCTTTTTCTCTTCAGAGCCAGCAGGTGCCTGAATGCGGAGCTGTGGGCTTTGGGGCAGCAGCACCTGCTCTTAGCACCCTGACAGTCACCCCCTTTCTCCTCTGGGTCTCAGTGGATGAACTGGGGCATGTTAGGCTCCAGGAGTATCCCTGGGCCTCACAGAGGGCAGAGAACTAGAGGGCAGAGAAGGCGTGGAATGGGCACCCCCCACCCCCACCCTGGGTGAGGTGTTTTTGCTGGAATCGCAGCAGCTGTGGCTAGAGGCCTCTTCCCAGGAAGAAAGAGCAGAGCGCCTCTTCCAAGAACTCGGAGGAGGCCTGCAGGCAGGGGAGGGGTAGCGGGGAGTTAATTTTAAACCAAACAGCCTTCAACGCTTCTCAGGAACTGGTTGCTCAACATGATCTGGCAGGTCCCAGACGGGCGGGCAGGCCTGGTGCCAGCTCAGAGGTGGCAGGGGTGGAGGACACGCCCCAGAGTGGGAGGCCCAGTGACCTTGAAGGAAGTTAGGCCCTGTCCTTGCCCATGAATCAGGGCCTGTCACCCCCAACCCCCACCCACCTTGCTGAGGGTGTTGGATGGGGTGACTTCCTCCATCATAATCAGGCAAGGTGAAATTATAAGATTAATAATACAGGTGTCATGTCCTTCCAAGGACCAACTGTCCCATCCCCCCTTCACTGCTCAGAACCTGCCACTCCTGTCCCCTGGCCTATACCTCTGGAGGTTATCTGATGAAGGCCTGCTCTGAGGCCAGAGTAAGGCTTGTGCCATTTGCCTATGAGATGGGACCCTGGGATGGGGGTCGGGGGATCGAGGATGGAGTGTAGCAAGCTGAGCCCAAGTTCTGGGTCCAAGGGGTGAGCCTCCTGTGTGTGCAGGGAGGCTGTGAGCTGAACTCATTGGGCCTACCCCGCCCCCTAGCTGACTGGGAGTCAAAGTGCCTTCACACACATTGACCTCCTGTCCCCCCACCCTAGTGTGGCCACCCTCTCCAGGCTGACAGCCTAGGCCCACCTCCCAGCGTCCGGACTCTACAGAGGACCCCGCCCAGGGCACTCCCTCCTTCATTCCCTTTGCCAGCTGTCCAATGAGACCCCAGCAGCCTGGGTGGGGCGAGGCCTATGTTCTAGGAAAGGATCCTGAGCAAGTGCTGCCAGGAGCCGCGGTTCTTGGAATCGGCACTGCAGAGCGAGGGGACGCTTCCTGGAACCCGCTGGCCACTCCACAGAGAGAGGCTCACAGGAGGGGCAGTGACCTAGGTGAGGGGGAGGGGGTGCTGAGGCCACAACTGGGGTCCTTGCCTCCAGGAAGCCCTCCCTGACTGTGGGTGCCTCCTTAGACTCCCCTCTCTCAGCACTGAGTGCAGGGTCCCTCTAAGGGCTCTGCCAGGACAGGCTCAGGTCTGGCACAACCTCTGCGGTACCCAGCATCCAGCCCAGGGATAGGCACAGAGTGGACAACCAGAAACAATAGGGAAAAAGCGGGGCGTGCATGCCTGGGAGGAGGGGCAATAGGCGGGTGAGGGGGCACAGGTGAAAGTGGGATGTTAGGTGCAAGTGTACTGCCCAGGCTGGTGAGCAGTGAGGGCTACGAAGGCTAAGGGGAAGGAGGAGGGCGAGCAAGGTGGGATCAGCAGTGGCAGGCCCTGCTCACTGAGTCCCTTGCTGATGAATGGGAAACCTCTGGCCAGGACTTCTGTCTCTCCTTCAGGCCAGTCTTTTCCTAGAGGGTCTTTCCCCTCAGATTCCTGTCCCACAGCTGGGGTACAGGTCCCAGCCTCAGCATCAGGCCACCTGGTATGGTCCTAGCACCAGTGCCCAGCTGTGCAATCTTGAGCACACATCTGGCCTGTTGGAGACTCAGTTTCCCTACTTAGAGGATGAAGAGGAGAAGCTGCAGGGCCCCAGGACGGCTCTGCAGGTTGTGACCTGGTTCTGGGACTGGATTGGGACCTAGTCACACTTTGAGGGAGTAGCCATGAGTGTTCCCATCACAGGGTCCTGGGGACAGCAGGGGTCTTGAAGGGGTGCTGGGGGGCCTGTCTAGACAGGCACAGAGGGGAAGTAAGGGCCTCCCTCTCTAGCTGGGTGACCTTGGGGCAGTCTTTTAACCACTCAGGACCTGTTTGCCCTCAGAAGAATGGAGAACGCTCCCTGGCTAAGGCTGGACAGAGGTGTGGGCAGGGATTTGCCTCTCGCCTCATGCCCTCAGGTCACTCCTTGGCTCTCACTGAGCACAGCTCCAAGCCTGCTACCCACCCACCCCCGACATGTCACAGAGATGGGGCCCCCAGCCCATCCTCCAGAGGCCAGTCCTGGGGTTGAGAAGGGCTGAGACTCAGTGCCCAGGCGGGGGCTGTGAGGCAGGGTTGTGACAGAGAGGCCCTTTGACCCCTGCAGGAAGATGGTGGAGCACCCTAGGGACATAGTTCACCATTACGCTTGCGCTTTGGAGTGCTGGTTCTCTGGGGCTACCTAAGGCAGCTGGCAGTGTAGTGCTGCATTCTCCACCACTTAGCAGCCCTGGCGCCTGCACCCAGGTCAGGCTGGCCTTGACTGGGAAGATACCATGGGAGGACTGGACCTGGAACCACCCGACCTGAGTGGGAAGAGCTGCTAGGTGGCACATACTGGGTTTGCAGAGGACACTGGTGCCCTGCTCTATATAGGTGGCTCCAGAGCCAGGCACTCTGCATGACTTGAGCCAGTCATGACTTCTTACCTTACAGAATCATGGTGAGGAGTAAATATGTTTGGTGATTTTTCTCCTTGGGGTCTCCTCCCTGGTCCCAATCCACCCCTCTGGCTCCCCCTTGACCATAGGCCCAAGTAGACAAGAGCCTCAGAAGCACTCTTTCTTTGGCCCTTATTGCAACAGGAAGAACTATGGACACATCTGCTCTTCCCACTGGAGCACAGGCCCTGACATTTGCAGTGCTCCGGGCAAAAGGACAAACGGAGGCCCACACTACAGAATCTAAATATTTAAAATCATAAGTCAAGCTACAAACTGCTAATTAAACACGTGCTATCCTCCTACTCAACAAGTAAACTTTCATAACAATAAAAAATCTGTAAATCTGTGGGTTTTGTATGTCTAAAAGTCATAAAAATATCAGAAAGTCAGATATCAAAGATGATTCAATTTAATGATTATTGCTTATGTTCAGGTGTTCACTGATACCAAGTGAGTAAGAAGATAAAGACATGCCTAATTCATAAGATATTATATACTTATTCTGTAACATTCACTGTTCTTGCTTTGATTCCAGTAAAACTATTGATTATGTTGTTATAGTCAAGATTTTCACATAATTACTATTCTATTGGCAATAATGATTTAAAAGACTAAAATAAAATATTATATTCAAAGAGCACAAAAATATGAATTAAATTTAAAATATTAGAAATTGGAAGTATTTAAAATACATTCCAAAAAGTTATTTTTTAAATAATCAAAATTAGTAAAATTAAAAGGCAAAATACAAACTATAAGTTATAATGAACTGATATAAAAATTTAAGTCAAAAAGATTTAAACTAAAATTTTATTCAACTTTTTGAAATTTTTATTAACTGTTAAATATTTTTATAGAAAGAAACCTTCCCAATTCGTGTTCAAATCCCCTGTGAACTCTAAGGCTGGTTCACAGCCTCCCTCCATTTCCCTGGGGTCTGAATGGTGTCATCACGAGTGGGTGTTGGGTTTGTCTCACATTGTGCCACCGCTGAGTGTCAAATCCCCAGTGATGGTGATGCCCATGTGTTCTTTAGTCCATTTATTGTGAATTGATCATTTGTGTGCTTGTGATACATTCTAAATAACAGCCTCCAAGCAGCTTAGAAGAGAGTGGTGACAGAGCAGGCACAATTTCCAATAAATGATATTGATCCAATATCAATCCAATAATTGATATTGATTTGGGAAAAAAAATGAAGTCCAATGTCTACCTCACACAGGGAAATCTCAATAATTCTAGATGGACTAAATATTTAAACATGAAAAAATGACACCCTAAGAGTCTTTTAGAGCACCTCCCTAAGAGTCACAACAGTATCGATTCTGGGTAAGGAAACTTCTTCCTTCATGTGGCTCCCCTGCACTACTTGCAGGACAGGTCTGGAGAAATGACAGCCACACCAGAAATCCATTACTGCCCATTTGGTGTCATCTTCCCGGTCTTGGAGGGTTTCCCCCAGAGGCAGGCTCAGGGACAAGGATCCAAACACAAACAGCTTATTTCAGAGGTCATGTCAAGAAGCACCAGTAGAGGATAGGGAGGCAATTTTTCCTGGTTGTCTCCCATTTCTGTACACTTGCTGGTAGAGGCACTGACTGCCCTTGTTCCAAACAATACTTTCAAGGGTGATTATTCCAGTGAACAGCCTTAGAAGATAGAGATAGCATCTCCCTCCAGGGAAAAAGGCAGATTTATTGTCCAGTATAATAAAGATAATATCTGCCTCTGGAGTGAAGGGTGGGCAGGTTTGTTTATAGTCTATTATAAAAGATTTGGGTTCCCTGATCTCAGGGTTCCTCTCCTGTCAACCCACTGCACGCACAGGCATCATCTGGCCCTTATTGGGTCACTCTGCAGGAATTGGGGTTCAGGGAAGTGGTACAAGAAAATGCTGATACTCTGTCTACTGTTACTGTGGAAAGTAAACTGACCTTTGTTTCTCAAGCAGGAATCTGTGTCTTCTGCCAACATCCTCGGGAATATGACAACTTGTTAGCTTGTGAGTTAGGTGAAATCTCAGAGCCTTCCCAGCTCCTGACATAGAGGACAGGGGAAGTGAGACAGGGAAGGAAAGGAAGCCGAAGCAGGTGTGTTAATGAGTGTGCTCTCTCTGCGGGCAACTGAGGTCAGTCCTCGGTTGAGAGATAGTGTAGAACACACATCAGGGTTGTCCTACCCGAGAGGTAAGGAAGCTGGGATGTGTATCCACCAACTCCCACTATTCACTGGCTAAGGGCTGCTCCAGGGGGTGAACTCCCTGCATATTTCACCTACCAAGCTGGCCTTTGCCATAGAGAAAGCCTCAAGCTGAGCACTGTAACTGCTGTGTGGAAACCTAAGTGGGAAGGGATATGCCCCATGCAAGCGGGGCCTTATCTGAATACTGCCCATGGCCAGTGCCTGGCACAGTGCCGAGCACACAGTGATCAAATGCATGCCACATGGGCCAAGGATAAGGACCTGTTTACTTGCCTCTGTCCTCCACTAGGCTATGAACTCCTTATGGGCAGTGTCTTGTCAATTTTTCCTTCATACTCTAGCACCAAGGGTAGGCCTGACAATTAATCTTAGGCTCCCAGTTAGGGGTGTAGGGGAGTGAGGGGATAGCCAGGCAGTGATGGGGCTCACTGCCTCATGGGGCAAAGGCAGACTCCCTGCCCACCTCTTGAGACCAAGTGGAAGGGAAGAGCTCTGGAAAGGAGCAGACAGCTCTGTCCAGGGCCATTTAATGAAAGGGCGGCACCCAACAAATCTGAAGCTTCTCTACTCTTTGTTCAACCCCCACCCTCCACCCCACCAAACACAGGCCTAGCCCCCAGTTGAGGGGTACTCAGGGTGTGGGGGAATAAACAAAAGCTGGAATGGTAAACTGCGAGGGATCAATCTTGCCTAGAGTACAGTGCTCCAGGCTTCTGGGCCTTCAGGGAAGGAGCAGAGTTGGGGGCAGATGGTGAGGCCTAGCAGAGGTGCGGTTTCCTCTCCTAGCTCCAGGGCCCACCCCAGTGCCTGGCAAAGTCTGGAGGGCTGGGCTGGCCTGAGTATGGCTTTCACTGTCTCAGCCTCAAAGGACCCTTCACACCCAGCCTAGGGCTCTAGGGGTCAATTTTATGTTTAGTAGGTGGGTGCAAAATGGGTGGGAGTGAGGGGGACAGAGGCTGAGGGACGCTAGAGGCAGGGGAAAGTTCCAGGGGGTCAAAGAAGGTATAGAAACCATTTAAACAGAATTTGGAAGTTTGGATTTTATTTGCAGAATCAGAGAGAGATAGACAGAGACTGATTGAGAGAGAGAGGGCGTTCCAGGCAGCTAGGACAGCCCAAGCAAAGGTGTAGTGTGGGGGAAATTCCTAGGAATGGCAAGGCTTGGGAGGACCCTGTGGTTGGTCCCTAGGTGGGTTTTCTGGGAGAATCAACCCAGAGTTTGATGCAGTGTGGTCATCAGGGATTGCCAAGCCCCAAATGCCAGGCCAGAAAGGTCAGGGATGTGGACAGGTGCCCAGGTCTGGCCCATTCCCCTCCCAGATCTCCCCTAACTTGCTGTGTTACCCTGGGCAAGTCATGGGCCCTCTCTGGGCTTCAGCTTTCTTTTCCATGAAATGGGGGCACAGTACTCAAGCTCCCATGGGCTCCCATAACTCAGAGACAGTAGCTGGGCCTCCAAGACAGGGTGATACCTCACAAGAACCTCAGTCGCCCCTTCTCCAAGTATGGAAGGCAGCCTCGGCCCTCAGCAACCTGGGGCCTCTCACAGAGGCCACACACACAAGGTCCTGAACTGGTTCCCAGAGCCTGGAGCTCCCCCATCCAATGGAAGCCCTGCGTGGGCACACCTGTGATCATGGACATGGACCCACATGCTCAAGTCCCACACCTGTGCACATGCACATATCTATGGGTACCTGTGTAGGGGTGTGCAGGTCTCTATGATGGGCATGTGTGATGTGGCCTGCCTCCCTACTGCTGACCAGAGCAAGCCTAAGGACCCAGCCAGTCATGAGGGGCCTGTCAGGAGTCGTCCATGTCCAAATCCATGAGCTCCTCAAGGACAGGGCCCCATCTGAACCACCCTACCTGGCTTACAGTTGGTGCTCAGTGCTTGCAGGTGAACAGTGGGGCTGGGGATGGGGGAGAGACAGGACACTAAGGACCTCAGTCACCCATTCTCCAAACTTGGGAGGTAGCTTCAGGCCTCAGCAAGTCTGGGTACCTCACAGATATTGGCAGGAAAAGAGGACTTGTCCAGATGCTGTGTCCTCACACGACTCTGAATTCCACCCCACCCAGATGGCCCCAAAGGAGGCAGAGGTGCTGGGCTCTTGGCTATGACTCAGCGGAAGGAAGACAGGAAGGGGGGTTGGTGGTGCTGGGGCCCTAGGGTTTTGCTTCTCATTTCTCTCTTCCTAAAGTATAGCAAGTTCCCAGAAATGAAGGTACAGAAACCCCAGGCTCTCAGGGGCACTGGGTTCCCCAGTCCTCCCACCCCTAGAGATCCCACATAGGGCCTGGGGAAGCCCCTAGTCCCTGTCCCCTCCTTGGGACCTTCTTCCCTGCCCCAGAACCAGGGACTGAGTGGAAAGTCCACACCAGAGCCAGGAGGGAGTCGTGGACTCCTGAGACTTTTCAGAAGTATGTGGCCCAGATTCACTTGCTGAGACAGATGCTGAATGAGAGGAGGCACTGGAACCTCCTGGACAGGTAGGGGTGGAGCAGTCAGGGTGGGCTTCCCAGGAGAGACAGAGGCTGCCCTCACCAAGAACCTGAGTGAAGGCATCCTCAGATGCCCCATGTGAGTTCCTTCTTTCTCCTTGCCCTCCCTTCCCGTCCTCCTTTCCTTTTTTCCCCCCTCTCTTTCCCTCTTTCGTTCATATTTTTAACTATTGGAAAAAGCCCAGTTTTAAAAAGCACACACACACTCAAATGGGCACAACACCAAACTATGATACGTTAGAATCCTACCCATGTGTCCAGAGACCCAGGTTTGGGCTGAGCTGGACATGAGCCTTCTCCTGCTGTCCCTACAAATGAAAGAGACTGCAAGGGGCCCTTCAGAAACATGCTACCATTTGTAACCACTTATCTGTGAGAATCACTTGGTGGGGTCATTTGGTCCTGTGCCACCAAAACCAAATACTGAAAAGACACTGAACGCTGAGGCTGACATAAGACTGCAACTCCCATCCTAGCCCCCAGTTCAAACGTCAGTGCTCATCGCTGTTCACCTTGATGGACTTAATGCTAAGAAAGTGTTGAGAATTTGAACTTATAAAATACATTTACGTTTAAAATGATGCTTTTATCTTTTAAAAACTACATAGTTGAGTTCCACGTGAAACTTGGTTTGAAAGAACAAACTCTAGGGCTCTGGGCAGGAGGGCTGGGCAGAATGACAAGAGACAGAGGATTTCTGTGCAAGCAGAGAGAGTGGGGAGCCCTGGTCAGTTCTTGAGCTGTGGGAATGCCTTCAAGAAGGGTTTTAGGCACATCCACCTGCACCCTCTCCCAGAACCTCCCAGGCCTGGGAACCTGAAACATTCCACCTGATACGGCAGGCTTTACACTTCCTTATGCTGCAAGGGGACTCACTTTCCTCACCCACCTGTCAGCAGGGAACCAGAGTCTGGGTGTCTGTCAGTCCCACCCCACATCCGGAGTACATCAGAGCCTCCTTTCAGCAGCAGCCACTTTCACTGCCCTCCCCTCCCCCATGCGCTCCTCTGCTGTGGGGTGTGAAAGTTTGGCACCAGGGGCAGCTGGGAGGGGAGGAAGCTCACTCCACATCTGGTGCTTTCTGTTTGACTCACCACTTTCCTCTTTGCCCTGGAAGCCCATGTCAGCCCTGGGGGCACCCCAGCTGGGTATGCGGGCCCCGGGCTACAGCTGGCCTCTGTGGCCTGCTCACTCCCCTTCCAGCTGGGATGTCAGAGGACTGGGTTCAAAGCCCAGCATGGCTACTTCCTGCTTGTGTGATGTTGCACCGGTTAAGTCTCAGTTGCTTCATCTGTCTAGTGGGCCAAGGAAGGCTCCCCTCATGTGCAGACAGAGGATTTATGACAGTGTGTGGCACGGGGCACCATTACACATGGAGATGCCCAGTTACTGTTGTTGACAGAGCTCAGGCCTGGGAGGGTGGTCTTCACAACTCCATCTAAAGGGCTGCCTCTAGGTTATGTCCCCACATGGTCACATTTGGATCTCCAGACACCCCTGCCCACTGCCCCTGACACTGCCTATGGGATGGCCTGAGGGCACCCCACTCTCTCAAGCTGTCTGTCCCTAGTACCCCAGTGCCCAGTTCAGGGTGGCTCCAGGGCCCCCAGGTTCCAGTCAGAGCCCTGGGCCCTATCGTGGTCCTGGCCACCCCCCGCCCTACATCCAATCCCTCAGCAATGGATGTGAGTTGGTTCTCTTCCAGAAGGCCTGTTGCTATATGCCACTGCTATAGCCCCTAGCGGCCTCTAGATCCTGGCCCAGTTGCAGCCTCCTGCCCCAGTCCCCTCTTCCTGGCAGCTAGAGAATATCCTCAATGCCTACCTGACCCTGTAACTCACCCTGAGACCCTTAAATTAGGCTCTGGTACCCAGAAATGCATTCAGAGCTCATCCAAAGGCACCCACCACCACCTCACCACAACATAGTCCTCTCCACGTGCCTCCAGGCATCCAGGCTTTTGCCCAGACTGTCCTCACTCTGGGCCTGCTCTATCCCTGTCCCACACCCTACCCTCTTCAAGCCAGGTGTGATGACCAAGGCCTCAGGCCCTGGGTCATTAGGCTTGCACTGGAATCCCAGTTCAGCCAGCATATAAGCAGATTCCTTAGCCTTTCCCAGTTTTAGTTTCCTCGTCTGTAAAATGGGAGGGTTCACTGACTTTGCCTTATGGGATGTCTTGAGAGTGAATAAGATAATCCCAGAAGCACTTGGTTCAGGGTGCACCGTTCAATCTCCATATTTTACAAGCGCTTCTGACTGGTATCATCTCCCCAGGGCCTGGCACATAGTAGGGCTTGGGAGACAGAGGCCTGAGCCTATGCTGCACACACCTCAGGAGAAGGGCCCACCAGGGTAGGCACTGGGCTTCTGGAAAGCCCTCTGGGAACAACCCTGGCAACCCCTGTTCCTGCTCTGAGGATCCACAGGCCCAGGTGGACCGCTGCACTAAGCTCTGCAGGGGGCAGCCCAGGACCTAGCTATGCTGACCTCAGTCTCTGACCAGTCAAATGGGCACCAATGGTGGCCTCACCCTCCCTTCCAATCCAGCGGTGAGACCTGATCCGTGACTGCACCCTGCTGAACCTTGGTTTCCTCATCACGGAGATGATTAAAAACCCAGTCTGTGGGGTTGTGTGAGGATTAACACCAATAAATGTAAAGCAGCTGCTTGGGGCCTAGTGCCCAGCAGGAGCTCAAGAAATGATGGCAAGGAGATGGAGGAGGAGGAGGAAGGCCCAGGGGGCTGCCCAGATACTTCACTCAGCTGCAAGGTCTGAGGGCAAACAAGGCCCAAGCAGCTCTAGCTCGGGGTTCACTCTACTCGCCCACGTAGCTTGGCCTCACACTGACCCCCAGGAATGGCAGACAAGACTATACCTGGAAAGCAAGGCAGGTTGGGGGTCTGCAGCTGATAAAGGGCTGGAGGCTGGGAGGCAGAGAAGAGACCTGGGTTTGAGCCCCAGCCCTGGCCTGCTGAGCCTTAATGTTCTCATTTGCACACAAGGATCTTTGTGGGTGCTTCAAGTCCCAATAATCTGCTCCTGGGGCTCAGTAGGCTGGGAAACCTGACCCCTCCATTGCCCTAGATGCATGCCCCAGGAGAGGGCTATAGACCCAGCGCAGCAGGGGGCAATACAGTGGCATCCCTCGCTCTGAAAGGCGAAGTCTCTGAGAGAGACCCCAGCCTCTGAGAAGGAGCGACCAGACAAGGCCTGCCTTCCGCTGGGCAGAGCTGCTCTGAGCCACCTCACCTCTCCGCTCAGTCATGGCCAAGGCCAGGTGGAAGCCAGCTCAGTCCAGGGCTCCCAGTGAGGCTGACGTAAGCTTCCCTTGCCTCTCCTACTCTGTGAACTGTAAAATTGGCTTTTCCCCACTGTTTCCCTATAGGATGATTGACAAGAGTGTCTTGGAAGGGGAGTGGTCCCAGAATTTGAAGCTCTTACACATCGGATTCCTGGTTATGAGGCCAAAGATGCTAAAGGTTCCTTGGCAGGGTGCATAACCAGTTCTCTCAGGGAGGGATGAAAAGAGGAACCCCTGCTCTCCTCACAACTACCATCAGGGCTTCAAATGAGACCCAGATCTGTCCGCACACCCAAGGCTGTAGTTGGGCTAATATGGCTGACATCAGGGATAGGGTTGAAGGTTCCAGGTAGCCACTTCAGCTCTGGGGATCATGAAGCTGAGAATCCTAGGAATGACCCACTTCTAGCCCAGCCACACAGCCCAGCACAGGCTTGTAGCAGGAGCTGGGCACTGCCTGGGGGCTGGAAGGAGCCAAACCTCCATGGCTTACATGGAGGGATCACCTTGGAGTCAGGGGCTGCTGCACTCATTTCAGGCAGAGTACCTGCTCACCCTCACACCCTGTTCATTATCACACACTCCAGGGGTGCTGGGCCAGCCACGTGACTCCATGGGAGTCAGGACCAGGCTCGGATCCAGTCTCTGACGTCCCCTCTGAGGGCCTGGGTGGCCCCCTTACCACTGGAGATAGACCATGGAGGCCAGCTTTGCTCTCTCCCCCTGATCCCAGTTCCATTCCCCACAGCTCCCAGTGCCTGGGCCAGTTTCTCTGGGTCCCACCCTGGGCAGTCTTCTAGTCTCTCACTCCAAGAAAGGGTCAGCTCTAGGGAGCCTGGGCAGCTCAGGTCTCTAGGTTGTGAAGGGTTTCCCACCCCCATCCCCACCCACCTCACTGCTCAGAGGAAAAGTGTTCAAAGCAATCTATCATGCACCTCAAAATCTTTCAATCTCTGCCTATTTCCAAATTCCAATTCCAAAGCCACTTCCATTTTTAGGTATTTGTTAGAGCAGCACTTCACTTCGGGTACCAAAATCCGTAACAGTATCCTATTGCTGCTACAACAAAATGACCACAAATTTAGTGTTTTTAAACAACAGCAATGTATCATCTTACAGTTCTGGAAGTCAGAAATCCAAAATCAGTTTTAAGAGGCTAAAATCAAGATATTGGCAAGCTGGCATTCTTTCTTAAGGCTCTAGGGAAGAATCCATTCCCTTGCCTCTTCCAGCTTCTAGAGGCCATCTGTATTCCGTGGCTCATGGTCCTTCCTCCAGCAATGGCATCGCTTTGACCTCTGCTTCCACCATCACATCCCCTTCTCTGACACTCCTGCCTCCCTCTCATAAGGACCCCTGTGATTATATTGAGCCCACCTGAATAACCCAGGAGAATCTTTCCATCTCAAAATCCTTAAATCTGCAAAGTTCCTTTTGCCATGTAAGGTAACAAATTCACAGGTTTATGGGATTAGGACATGGGCATCTTTGGGGCCATTATTCTGCCTACTACAGGAGGGAGAAGATTGCTTTACCAGTCCCAATCCCTGCCCAGATGGCCTGTCCTAGGACTGGGGGGTCATGAGGGGGGATCAGGCTGCTGTTCTGGCCAATGCTGGCTGGGGGCTGGCTGGGGGCTGGCCGGGGCCCAGAGCTCCAGGAAACCTGGCGCCTGCCCCTGCTGCAGAAAGGACGGCCTGTACTCAGTGTGGCCACTGTGCAGAGATCAGGTGCACTGTAGCCCAAGAAGTGGCTATGGCTCAACTTGAACTGCTGCCTGGCTCGGGTGGGAGGCTAAGCCCTCGTAGCTTCTTCTCCCTGCTGACCAGAATATGTGAGAGCTGCTGTCAGGTACAATGTGAGCCACATGGGAAATTCCAGCTCCATTCTAGAAAACGCATACACTGTTGGCTTACTGGTGGACATTTACTGAGCTTAGTGTATGCTAGACCCACATGGGACCCCAGAGAGAAGACAGAGACAGGAAGGCTTCCAAATGCATGAGACAGAATGTCATTGCTACTGGAAGAAGTGGGCTAGGGTCTGGTGGGGAGAACCCAGAGGTCAGATGGGTGGTCCAGAGGAGAGAGCATTTGTGTTGGAGCCTGAAGGAGAGGATTATCTGGACTAGAAGTGGTGAGCAAGAGCATTTCTGATGAATGCACAGCCTGGTCAAAGGGAAGGAGGGGAGTTTGAGGAATGGATAGCTCTGCAGGGAAGCTGGAGTATAGGGCAGTGGAAGAAAGAATCCAAAGATGGACAGGGAGGGACATGCTGGCCTACGTAGGTTAAAGCAGTTCTCAAAGCCAGTCAGCAGTGGAATACTCTGTTCTGATGGAAGCTTACTCAGAGCACTGATGAGGCTTTGGGAGGGCTCCCCAAGACCCCTCCCATAGTCATCCTCCCCTACCTCTTCAGATCTGGACTCTGCAGGACACGGAGACCACATTCAGGTCATGGGGAGCCAGCCAAGGGTTTAGAGCAGGGATTGGGAGAAGTTAATGGCCCAGGGTCCAGGTGGGGTTAGGGGAGAACAGAAAGGGTTCATGTCAATAAAGCAGCTAGATGGGCCCCATGGGAAGAGCCATGGGCAGCTGGGAAAAGCATACAACTTGAGGCAAAGTGTCAGTTTCCTCAACTGTCAGAAGAGATGTAATTGCTCTTCCAGAGTACATCCATCAGGGACTCCTACACCCTTTGCCCACGCTTGGGGCTCCAGCTGACAGAGGCTGGGTGGACATCAGGCACATCCCTCAAGACCTCAAGGGCCTGTAGAGCCTGGACTCCACCATCAGCCCCACATCCTCCTGCTGTTCTGTCTCCTGGGCTCCATGACACATGCTAAAGGAGGCAGCTCATCTCTGCTCCAGCCCCAGTAAGGAGGGAGGAGACAGGGCAGGTGAGGCTGGCTTTCCCTGGGCTGGAGCCACAGGCTGCTCTGGCCTGGACCTTGGGGCACTCAGGCCCTGGTGAAGAGGGAAAGGAGGGACTGAGGGGAGATCTGGCTGCCAGGCTACCAGCCTCTTGGTGGCTCCATCTCCAGAGGGCAGAGAGAAGTCAAGAGCCCAAGACTGAAATCCCTGCCTTCCCTTTTTTCCAGACTGCCATGTCTCTGCCTGACTCGTGTTGGTGCCAACCACAAGACACACACGAGGGTACAGCATCCTCCTTATGTCTGCCCTCCAAGGCAAGCAGTGAAAACGTTCACAGTGCCCCATGAAAGGTGAAACCCATGGTCTCTTCAAAATCATATTAAGATAAGGAAAGCACTTGGTCCCATTTCTCAGACTTAAAAGCCAAGGCTGACAGAGTTGAAGTCATCTACCCAAGGACATACCCTAGTGAGGGGCAGATGCCAGGATCTGCACCCAGGCTGGTGTAGCTCCAACACTGGAGCTTAACGTCCAAGCCCCAGTCAAGCCAGTGGCTGCAGGCTTGAAGCCCGGCCCTGCCAGTCCACTTGGCCTGCACCTCTTTCTCAGGGGAGTCAGGCCTCATGGGAGGAAGTTGTCCCCAAGGGTGCCTCCTGCTTCAGTGACCCCAACTATGCCTACACTGTCACTCCCCATTATTATTTATGTACTCTTGGGGAGCCATATCCACATGCTTGCCAAGGCCTGAAGCCAGGAGGGTGAGACCATCAGGGAAGCCATCAGTGGTTGAGGTGTGGGACAAGGAGGCAACAGACTGCTAGGTCAAGGCAGCTACCCTGAGATGCTGCGAAGAGAGCAAGAGCCCAAGGACACAGGTAGGAGAGGAAGGGCAATACTGGTGAGGCAGGCCAAGATCTGAGAGCACACGGGGGCTCTGAAAGCCCACGCCGCCTTTCCAGGTTCCTTTTGGAACAGCCATGGCTGGGAGTCCCTGGCTCCTCCTCAAAGGAAGCCATGGGTGGCTTGAGGTCCATGCAGCTGGGTCTGGGCAAGGAGCAAGATACGGTAGCCCTGGGAACTGCAATGTGGCCTCTGCTAAGGCAAATACAACCCCCAACCACAGCGAGGGAGTAGCTCAGGCCAGGTATGACTCCAGCAATAGACTCTCCCAAGGCAGGGACCTAACTTCCTATCTCCATTTGGCCTCCTCCCATCATGGGACCTCAGGCAGGCCATGTCTTCTGTTGTGGAGTCCCTGCCTGGGGAGTGGGCCCTTGAATACCAGCTACATACTTTACCTGACTGACTGAGATTAAAATGAGACTGCCATCTTGCACTGGCCTTGGAGCCAGAAAAGCCAGCTTCTCACAGGGAAGGGAGCTGCCCAAGGTCCCACTGCAAGACACAGCTCTAGAACCATCAGAGGCTGTCTACCATGGCTCCATGTCTGTCTACCATGGTGGCTCCATCAGAGGATGCTGTCTACCAGACACACTGCCTCTGGCCACTGCATCACCAGGTCAGGCCTCTGAAAGTGCTGGGTTGGGGGGATGGGAGGGGAGACCAACAGAATGAGTCAGTCTAGTCTGCCATGTTCCTTGAGACCCACCCTGATGCAGGCTAACACCAGCACCTGCCAACCTGGAGGTTTCCTGTCGCTGTGGACAGAAGGGCCTTTGGGCCTCCCGGCAGCCACCAGCCTGCAGACCAGAGCTAGGGTGGAGGTCAAAACCTGGTGCCCACTCTGTCTCAGCTTCTCACTCTCCCCAGCTCCAACCAGGGACAGATGGGTTTTCAGAAACCCCAAGGCTTGGAAGGAATGTTTTAGCTCAAAACTATGGGAATAAAAAGTAAACACAAGCCCTGCTCCCCACACCACCAGCTGGGGCCTGCCAGCCAGCCCTGCAAAGGCAGAAGGAAGCTCTTACCCCCAGCACTGCCTAAGGGCAAGGGGTCAGGGGACCCACAAATCACAATATCAAAACATTAGGTCACCACTTGCTGGTCTCTCGCCACTTTATTGGCCGTATCTCCCAACATCCCTAGAGCAATTCCACCCACAGAGACAAAGCAACCTGCCTTGGCTACACTGACACGATGGGGCCAGACTGGGAATCCGGTCTGCTGAGCTCCTAAGCTGGATTGTGGGTGCTCTTGCTCTTTGCTGGCCCAGGAAGGACACCCTCGCCCTCGTGCCTACTCCCAAGTCTCCTAGAAATGTAGAGCATGGAGAATCACAGAGCCATGGGAAATGCCACAAACATCTGGGGTTCTGGAAGGCACCATCCACCTCCCTCCAAGTAGCATTCCAGGTAGAAATGTCAGCCAGGCACTCTGGCAGGTTGGGGCCCTGGCCAGGCATCCACAGGGCAACCATGCTGTGGCCCACACCTCCTGATATGTAGGAACCGGGGCCTAAGGAGACAGGGACAAGGGGCCAGTTACTGCCTGAGCCCTGGGGAATGAGCAGGGGGTGGGAACCGCATGCTTGCCCCACAGCCAGAGCTGTGATAGTCTGAGTGGAAGGACCAGCATGGCTGTGGGGACTGGGGGGAGGGTAGAGTCTCACCTCCCACAGAAGTCCCTGCGCACAGCCACAAGATTGAGGGACAGGTCAGGCTGGCTCTGAAGCCAGCTGCCGACGAGCTCTGGGTGTCTTGGGTCCACTTCCAAGAAGATGCTTCTAGGTGGGGGAGAAATGGGTCAGCTCAGCTGGGCAGGGCTGGACCTGCATTTCTGGGTTGTCCCAGCTGGGAGGGGTGGAGGCAGAATGACACCCAGGGCAGGCCCAGTACATACTGGGAGGGGAGGAGGCTGTTGAGGTCAGACTCAGGAAACACCCCATCCATACCCAGAGTCCTTCAGGAGCCGAGGTGCCAGGGCCAGGATGTGGGTAATGATGTCCATGCCCTCCTCCCCACCGTCCAGGGCTAGTGGATCTTCATAGCTGAAGGGGAAAACAGTGAGAGCTAAGGGCCTGGGATGGGGTATCTGAAAAGTATGGAGAAGCTGACCAGGACTTCCACAAAGAAGGCTCTGTGGAACTTACACTCTGGGCTGAGAAGAAAGTCTGAGGACCCCGAATGATGGCAGCTCTGATTCCCCTACCTCCTATAGGCAGCCCCCTACCAGGCAGTGCTGGGCATGCTCAGCGAATCCCATTGACTGACTACCCCCAGGGCATGAGGGTCTCCCCACAACAAGGATATTCCTATTCTTGGCTTGGGGAGGCATAGAGCTGGCCCTGACCACTCCTGAGAGCCAGGAATTTGGAAGCCAGCACCCTGACACTCACTACCACTGCCTCATCCAGAGGCTGCTGGGCTACCCCTGGTTCTCAGACCATTTGAGAACAGGATGGTTCAGTGCAAAGCCTGGAGTAGAGTCTTAGTCCCAGCTTTCCAGCTAAGCCCCCACACAATCTTGGACAAGGTCCCTTCCCTCTCTGGGCCTCAGTCTTCTGTAAAATGATGCACCCATCTGACCACCTTCTATGTGTTGTATACTGTAGTCTGATATTTTAGTCATTAGTGAGTCCTCCCCATGGCCCGGCAAAGCTCTACCACTCCCCTTTCAGAGGCAGGAAACTGAGGCTCAGAGAGGTTCAGTGGTCTTAAGTGGGAAGGCAGATGCTGAACCAAAGTAGGTCTGTGGGTTCCAGAGTGAGCCTCTCTTTCAACACCACTGCCCCGTTCAGCCCCCCGGCTTCCCCATCCCTCCCGATAGTATGGTCCTCCAGGGCAGACCCATCCCATTAGGCCTTCTCAGGCCTGACCACCCTGGTCTACCCCACACCTGAGGATCTCAGGGGCCAGCTTCTCCATGTCCCGGTGGAAGACGTAGGGAGGGTTGCTGACGACCAGGTCCACAGGGCCCCAGGGTAGAAGATGTGCCCAGCTCCCATCTGTGGTCAAAGGGAACACACAGCAGAGAATGGGAGGTAAAGGGTGGAAGCTCCACGCACTGCTATGTCCCTTGGGTAATCCCTCTCCCCAAACCACAACTTAGGCCTATCTCTGGACCCAATAAACTAGACTTCTAGATTAGTGCCCAGTGTCCCCAGCCAGCAGCCTGGCTGGGAGTGTGTATGCTCTGACGTGGCAGTTCTCCCCCTGGAGTGTCCTTGCCTTCTCTTCTTCCTATCAAAAACCTCCTCAATAAGCAAGACTCAGATCAAGTGCCACTTTCAGGCAGCCATCTCTGATTGCCTGACAAAGCAAGCGCCTCTGTTCTCTGCCACCCTGCTGGCCTTGCCACACTCTGCCTCGTAGCCAACATGGACTGAGTGTATGGAGGGCAAGCCTGGCCTCAGTCAGTTGATTCCTAGTGGCTCTGTTTACTGGCCCCACCCTGCATCAGGTATCACACTCCATGGAGGGTGCACATGAAGCTCAAGGATGCTATGGGCATGTGATAGAGCCAGAGCTGGAGCCAGAACTCTGCGGGTACTCTGTAAAGGATGCAGCCAAGTCATGCTGTGCCTGGGCCAGGCGGGGGCGGGCAGACACTCAAGTATTTTGGTCCCAAAGGCTATCTCTTGAGCTTCTGCTTACTTCTTGACAACAAACAAGCCCTAGTTAAATTCATTAATTATGGGGGATACGAAAGGTAAGAAAGATCCTGTGGCTGGTCCCTTCATGGGTCAGGTCAGCCCAGGAGGCAACAGGGACTTGCCTGTCCTCAGCAAGGATTGGGGGTGGGGAAGGGGTAGGGGTGTGTGTGTGTGTGTGTGTGTGTGTGTGTGTGTGTGTGTGTGTGTGTGTGTGTGTGTGTGTGTGTGTGTGTGTGTGTGTGTGTGTGTGTGTGTGTGTGTGTGTGTGTGTGTGTGTGTAAGCCATCCCTCTATCTCTGCAGACTGCTTCATCCACCCATCAGCATCTGGACCCAGGATCCCCACCCAGGGAAGATGGGTGGGGAAAGTACCTAAGGTCACATCGAAGGGGATGATCCGAATCCTGTCCTGCAACCGAAGCCTGGAGAGATAGGAAAGTAAAGGTGAGCATGGGGAGGGGGAGAAGGGGTGGGAGCAGGGGTGGGGACAGACTCCTACCCTTGGCTACAAAGAACGGGAGAATAAACCCTTCTTGGACCAGCAAGACACCTGGTGTCCATTGTCCATTTGTAACCCTGTGGGACCTACGCCAGGCCTCCCCCACTGCCTCCTCCTTCTTGGGGGTGGACATCGGCGGGTTTGATACCTGGATAGAGGTTGAGAGCAGGCCCCAAAGTCTGACTCCCCCTACCCTGACCGTCTGCACCCAAGCCCCCCTACCTCTGAGCATTCTCATGGGCCAGGCAGATGGCGGCTTCTCCCTTGTCCACAGCAATGACTCGGCTCTGCCCCAAGAACAAACAAAAGGTACGTGGGAGACAGGGTGTTTGGAAAGGCCAGGCCTAGGGACCAGAGCCCTCTTCCAACCCTCTGCTAGAAGAGGAGGGAAATACTCAGTAGCTTTTCTTCCTCTGCGGTCAGGGTCTGGCCAGATGGAAGGGGATGGGACTTAAAGGCTGTGACCATGGTGGGCTGGGGCAGCTCTGTCTTCCTCCTATTTTCAGTCATTTCCTCTCAAGTAATTCTAGCAGAGTGGGTTGGGGAGGGATCAGCAGGAAGGACAGTAAGTGCCAGTCACAGTCTACCCAGGGTGGGGTGGAGGGATGCATAGGGGGCTCACCTGGGGGAGCTTGCTCAGCAGGCTGAGGGAAATGGCTCCTGATCCACAGCCCACCTCCAGGATGAGTGGGCCACCTTGAGCTCCCACCACACGGGGCCCTTGGGTCACCTCCTCCAGCACCCATTCAACCAGCTCCTGCAAGGGAGATAGATCCTGATCAGAGTTGGTGCTGACCTGACTCCTGTGGGTCTTGGCACAGAGGGCCAAGCATAGTTAGCCCCTGTGTGAATGTAGAATGGGGATGGTTAAAGCCAGACTGAACTTCGTTGTCAGCTGCGGCCATGGGCAGGTCACACTGCCTCTCCATGCCTCCACTTCCCCATCTGTAAACTTGAGCACAGTTGAGAATAACCCACCTCATTGGGGGCAGGTGGAGATTTAACAGAAGCACATTCATGAAGCACTTATCTCATGCCTGGTACATGGTAAGTGTTCAGTAAGCCTCAGCTAATCCTTTTACAGACATCCTCTTGTTTTGTGCTTACAGCAATGTTAAGAATCATACTTAATGGTCCCTAGCCAACCCCTCTGTGCCTGGCCCTGCTTCCGGAGGTTTCCCTGTATTAATCTGTTAGACCCTCATGAGAAAAGTGAGGTCCAGGGGTCAAGGCCCCACTGGGAACCTGGCCTGCAGCTCATGGTGGCCAAGAATCAGGGGCCAGTGTGTCCCCAGCTTCCTCACAGCCCCCCCAGAGAGGCTCCCAGGTCAAAGGGACAGGAAATTCCCTCCATGGAGGGGCAGGGGGATGACAGCCCTACCTGAGCCCCATATCTGAAGGGGGCTGTGGCACACACAGGGCATGGGGTAAGTGGGCATGACATGGGAAGAGGTGCCTAACTGCACTGTACCTGCCTTGGTGGCAGGGGGACACTTTCAGACACTGTCACTTTAGAAACAACAGTTTCAAGTCTGACCCACCCATCTGTCACCTGAAGACTGTGCATGGAAGCCAATATAGGGTGAGGGTGGAGGGCCGCTGCTGTGCATTGGCCAAAATGTTTCTAAACAGCAGTAGAGTGGGGGCCCAAGTAGCCAGGTATGGAGCCAGGGAACCAGGGAAAGGGCATGGAGCTATGGAGCAGGGAAAGGGCAGTCCCTCAAAGGGACCCGCCCTTTGGATGAGGATAGGAAAGGTCCCCCTAGAGGCTGAGGATTCCTGGGGTTCCAGGCAGGGCTGGCTCAGGGAATGAGGGGAAGAGTCAGGAAGTAGGTGTTTCCTTCATCTGAAAGAGATCTACTTCCTCCAGGCTCTCTCTACCATGACCTTCCTCACTGTGGGCCTAAGGTCTAGGATGGGGTGTGCTTCTCCCACCAAACTGAATGCTCCATGATGTGAAGACCAGGAATCTAACCCGTCATGGCATGTCCCACACGGGCAGGGCTTGGCCCACAGAGCGGCCTCTTGGCTACTTCCCAAGTGCTGGGCAAGCTCTCAGTGGCCACAGGAAGCTACCCTGAGCCTCAGACCCGCAGCTTCCCCCAAGCCCCAGTGTCAACAGTTAGGCCCCGATAGAGCAGAGGGCTCCAGATCACTCAGACTCATTTTCCGCATAAGCTGCTCAGTGCTGAGTCCCCAAAAGTATTTCATCCTTCATCCCAACCCGGGAGCAAAGTTCACCTGTCCCCAGGGTAGCAAGTCCAAGGCAGGTGGAACTTGGCCAGTGGGTCCAACCTTTTCTGTTCCAAGCCCCTTCTGCACCAAACAAGCTACTGCCTATGAGTGAGACAGACCCTCTCCAGCCAGAGAGGGCTTCCCCTCACTCCTTCCCACCAGCCCTGTACCAGGCACCACTGGAGAACTGGAGTGCTGGCAGCAAGCTGCGCCCACAGCATTGGGACCAGCACAGAGCCAGCAGTCTAGGGCTGTGGCTTGGAGCCTGCGGTCACAGTGGCGAGTCCACATAATAAGTGGCCAGCTGAAACTTGTCAGGGGCATGAACTTCTCTTGGTTTCCTGACCACAGACAGACCTACCCTGGCTGGAGAATGACCCCTTAGTCAACCACACTGGCCAGCCACCTCAGAGAGACATCCTGACATCAGAGGCACACACCACATGTGTGAATGGCTACCCTGGTCAGGGCATGAAGATGAGAGACTGGGCCCCCACTGCCACCAGTGCCCCTTGGCCTCTCCCTTACCCTCCAGATCCGGGGAAGATTATCTTGGCTGTAGGACCACTTCGGGTTTTGGCAGGGGCGGGGTAGGGATGGAGACCACTCCCAGCAAGTCCAGAAACTCTCTTCCTCACCTAGTAAAGAGTGTCCTCAGCCTAGAGTTGGTGGCTCCTTGGGGGAAGCTGAAAATCGAGCTGGTTACAGGCCCAGGGCACTTTTCCCAGGCGAACATGGGGAGAATCCAAGAACACTGCAGGGTCGGAGCAGAGGGGAACGTGGGAAGGAGGCAAAGAGCAGGCAGCTGTCGGCTCTGCCTGGAGCCACTGCCTCAACAGGACTCCACACCCCTTAAGAGGCTGGCGCAAGGCCTCAGCAGGACCTGAGTGCCATCAGGACCCTCATTAGGATTACATTCTTGATGAGGCAGCCCCAAGAAGGCAGCATTGCCTCCCTCAAGCTAATCACAGACAAGGCACTGAGCCTCCCACACCTCACAGAGCCTCACCTCGCCAAGCTGGGCAAGAATGGCTCACACTTCCAGCCTTGGTTTTCCCACTGTACACACTGCCAGTCCGGGGACTGAGCCACCTCCCCATCCCCAGAGAAAACCCAACTGGTCAGGCCACACACCACCTGCAACTTTGCATTTCAGAATTCTGCACCCATCATCAGAAACCACCCTTCAATGGATGGAGAGAACGCAAGCACCACGGTCCCTCCCTTGCACTAATTCTCCCCACTCCCCACCACAGGCCACGTCCTCTCAAGTTCTTGGTAAGGCACTCCCCAATGCGGCTTCACATTGGGGCAACCTGGTAAATTCTGAGAAACGTCTGTACGGTGAGGCGAGGACTTGGCCTCCCAACCGCAGCCTCCCTCCTCTCCCCCACCCCTTATAGCAGAGCTGCTCTCCTGGCCCAGACCCACCCAGGAAAGGGGGGGCCCTCACATGGGAGCCGGAAGTCCACACCCAACACTCAGAACCCTGGAACACATGGTTGGTGCCAGGTCAGCTCTGAGGGGACTCAAAGGTCATCGCGGTAGCTTCCCTCCCATGCCCTGACCCTTGGCGGCCTCAGGGGATGGTGAGTGACCTCCTGGCCAGAGGTCGCATGCTTGGAGGGGCCACAGGTTGGCCTCCCAAAAGTCTGCAGGTAGCAGGCTATATCCTGCTCTGGGTCTCTGCACCTATCCAGCTCATCCAATCCCAGATGGTTCAGCCCCTTGTAAGGTATGGGGCCCTGACGCAGGAGACAGGATGTCTTGAGTGCTGCCCCCATGCTCCCTGCCTTGACATCCCTGTGACTTCAGCAAGGTCTCAGACTCCCTACTGTCCCTGCCCTGACACTGGGCATTAAGGCAAGGACCTGGCCTCCCAACCACATGATGCCGGGGGCAAGTGGGGTCAGAGGGCTTCTTGGCTGAGGGAGAGAGGCTGGGAAAGTGAGAAGGGGCTCTGGGTCCCTGGCTGGGACAGGTGGATGAGGCCTGATATTTCCCAAGAATGTGTGTGCCTTTCTGGAAACACCCCTTCTCAGAACGTGGTGCGCTCTGGCTTGCCCACCAGCCCCCACCCACATACCCCTCCACCTGCTCTGCTCTCTCTGGCTCCCAGCCCTGCCACCTACAAGGTCATGGGGAAGCCCAAGAAGGGCCATAGAAAGCATTTCTCCCAAGACTAGGGTGTTGCACCTACACACAGCATGCTGGGACCATACACTTCCCAGTCCTAGTAATTTGAGAAACACAGGTGATTACCTGACTAGATAGTGGATGTAATAGGTAAAAGGTCCCAACCAGTTCCCTGGTCTGGAGGCCCAACCCTCTCATCATCTGGGCCCAGAGGGGGCAGTGACCTACCCAAGGTCACAAAGCTGTACCAGGCTTCCAGATGTCCAGCTGGAGCCCTCTCCACTTCGCCCATGCCTCCTGAGGAAGAGGAGGGCACTTGTTTCCCATGGGTTGGGTAGGCTATGGGCCCATGGGACAGCTCCTAGGGAAATGACAGGAACCGGCTGAGTACTTGGTGGGCAGCACTAGTTGGGGCATCTTGAGCCACTGCCAGCCTAGCGGCTGGGGCAGTGGCTTGGGAAGTGAGGATAGTCAAGGAGGTGAGCAGGAGACCTCTTTCCTCTTGGCCCCACCTACTCAGCCAGCCAGGAAGGGCGCTGCCTCTAAAGGACAGCAGTCATGGGGCTCCAGCGCCCCCTGGTGGAACTCTGGGACAAGGCAGGTGCCCTGAGCCCCCTTCATTCCCATCCTGCCCAGTCCTGATGGCACACCTACCTCTGTTTCTGGCCGAGGGATAAACACTGGGGGTGCCATCTTCAGACTGAGGCCCTGAAAGTCCCACTCACCAAGGATGTACTGCACAGGCATCCTGCAGAGGGGGCAGCAGGGTGATCATCAGTGCCAGCACCTGGACTGGTGTCTGGGTTGGGATACCACTTGTGGCCAAAAGTATCGGGTAGGGTCATGTCTCCTACGCCCCAGAACTCCTAGCCAAGACCTTCCTTCCCTCCCTTCTTCCTATTTACTACCATGATCCCTCTCTCATCACTCTCTCATCCCAACACCTCCCTAGTTCTTGGACACTTTCTTCCTCCCTGACCATGAACTTGGTGGAGCTGAAGGAAGCTGGACCCTGCTCCCCACACAGAGCCCTCTGGTTTGGCCCATGGTGCTCACCTTTGCAATCGGTAGCTACTCAGCTCCTGGACATACTGTAACTGCCAAGGGGTCAGGGGCTGGGTCCAAAGTCCTGGCCTCAGGCTCTGAAACTGCACCACAGAGAATGTGAGTGGCTGGCTCCCCGACCCAGGTTTCTTTTGTAGACAATGCCAGTGGGTCCAACACTGGCCACCTTGGTGATCCCTGAACCCCTAGTGCCTGGCACACACTGTAATAGTTTGTTGGATGAATGAATAAGTATCTGCCTAAGACATTCCTCCAGAAAAATCCCATCATTCTCAGCTCAGCACTCTCAGTGGAATGGAAAAGCCTGGATGTCTCTTCCCCAGAGTCCTCCCTCCCCCCATTTCCTGCCCTCTTGACAACACTGCACTTAACTGTTTTGGCTCCAAGGACATGAGCCACGATGTACTCACTGGATTCCCGGGCCTCAGGGATGCCCCTTTTCTCAAATACTACTGTCCAGTGGCTGACCAGTTCTGTGGCACTCAACATCCGAGCCGGAGGCAGATGGGGTTGCTGTGAGCTGAAGGTGCAGCCCCAAATGCCTCCCCTCCACCCCAGGCCAGATAGGAGGGCCCTCAGCATTCTGCCCCGATGTTCCACATCTCAGGGAAAGGATCCCTTGAGTACTTCCCCAAGGTCCCCAAATCTTTCTCGTGATGTCAGCTGCTGAGGATGGTGGCTGGCCTCAGCCGGATAGAGATGGAGAAGGTCACAGGCTCTGGCTCCTCAGCATGGCTCTGGTCCTCAGATGTGGCTGCCCTAGAATAGGGAAGGAGAACCAGGAGAGTAGCTGAGACTTGTGGGACCCACTCCTCTCTGACCTGTTGCCTGAGAGAGGGCATGCTCTTGCTCTGTCGCCTCTTTGACTCCATTTTAGACCCTCACCCACCTATCTGAGTTTTCTTGTCTTGGTCAGTGACATTTTCTTCATGTTTTTGGCTCAAGTGATCTGAACCCATAGCTCAGTCCCTACTAATAAATGGGCTGGTGTGGATCAGGGCCCAGGCTCGGGGGTTGGACAGATCTATCTGACCCAGAGGGTGTGACCTTGGGAAAGTCATTATTTCTGTGTTTCAGTTTCCTCGTCCATAAAATGGGGAAAATAACACAAACTCCACGGTGAGCAGTGCATCGGTCAATGAATATCAAGGGCCTGGGAGCCAGCTCAACACGTAGAGGAACTCAATTTTATATGCTCTTGACTAATATTACTAGGAGGAGGAGACCACCCTTGCTTGGGAGCTTTGCTTTTGACATTTTGCATGCACTGTCATTGACCTGTATGCTGAAAATCACCCCTCCAGCCAATTTAACCCATAGTCCTAAACACCAGCATAAACTTCCAGGTAAAAAATTGACAATTTCTGTTAATTTTATATGCAAGTTATCACAAACAAATTTAACTGAAGGTTTAAAACCAGCGGTCTCCTTTCCTCTTACAGAGACCAGGGTTCAAACTAGCCTTTACTGAACACCTGCTAGGTGCCGCTCTTCAGAGACAAACAGAGAGGAAAATGAGACTCCGAGACTGGAAGCAACTTGCCCAAAGTCACCCAGCTAGGTACTGTCCCAGTCAAGACACAAGTCCTTTGGACTCCAGAGGCAGCTCTGTCTACCAGAGCGCCGCCCAGGGAGGAGCCGAGGCCTGAAGTCAAAGGCGCAGCTTCCCTCTCAGTTTCGCACCGCGAGGTCGCCTCTCCACAAGCCTGTTTCTCCATCTGTACAACGGGGGTACAGACTTTTTAAGGAAGGCTGCCAGAGCTCTGACGAACTCGAGGTCTCGAGGGTGTTACGCATACCTGCCTGAGAAGCTTCCCCACTCGCCCGCCAGCCTGAAGAAACTGCCGCAGGCTCGGCTCCCGGACATGCGTGACCCGCGGTAAGCTCCCTCCGACGCTCTGCTTCCGGGGTTGGCGCAACTGAGGAAGGGCTCGGGCGGACCCCGTCGCCCAGCTCCAGAGTTCCTAGAGCCGATGTGTTCCACCTCGGAAGCCCCTGCGTCCAGTGAGGGCTATGAACGCCACGCCCACTACGTCCAAAGGCCCACTGGCGGGAAAGTGCGTGGTTGGGAGTAGGGTTGCTCCCTGGGGGCCTGGACCGGATGGTCTTCCTGAAGGTCGAGGCAGGGATAAGCCTGCGGTGACTGCTCCGAGATGACGTTTGGGTACCCGGCCGGGAGGTGTGTAGCCAGCCCGAACGGAGGCATGTCACCAGCCGGCTCTGAATTCGAGAGTTGGGGCGCGATGCCCAGGGGCCTGGTCTAACGTAGGCTGTGTGGTGGTAGAGCGGCACATGGGCGCATCCCAGTGTTGGGGGCGGGCACTAATTTGGGGGGTGGCACCCAGTGTCCAGGACCTGGGGTTCAGGTGGCAACTGGACCCCAGGGCCGCTCTTGACCCTCTAGCTCCCATTTTCGAGCAGGGAGCTCGAAACTGGAAGTAGTAGACCAGGGTTTGAATCCTGACTCATCGTGAGGCTTTGTCCATGTGCCCCTCTGTGGGCCTCAGTCGCTCCAATAAAATTCATGGCAGTGTTTCGCAAAGTATGGCCTGCCAATGCCACGCCCTCGCCCCCTAATCTATTGTTAACTAGATCACTGTTGACTAAACTACTATGAAGCATGCAGTTTCCCGGGCTCCATCCCAGACCCGGGGATCTGTATTTGTAACAAGCTACTCCGGTGATCCCCATAATAAAACCTGAGGATTAGAAGGCTCCTCTCCAGAGATGATCGAGCTCTGGATTGGAGGGGTGTGTGTAGGCTTGCTTGGGTCCAGGTGTCCAATAATACCACTCCTGTAATAAAAATACCATCCCGCCCCCCAACTTCTCTGAAGATGTCTCATTTCTAGCCTGGGATGGGTATCGTTTAACAAGAGCCCTCACACCAGAGCCCATCTGAGCAGGAAGCTGAGACCCAGGGAAGAGAAGCATCTTGCTCTAGGTCACTAAGCTAGTGGAGGGTCGAACCGGAGTTCAATGCAGACTCAAGGACTCCTAGTCAAGTGATCTCCCCAAATTTGTGTCCACCTGCGTTTGCGGAGCCCGACTCTGTCCTGGCGGAGATGGAGCCCAGAGTAGCCGGAGACCAGAGTTGTAGCCCTTAGGAAGGCCTGGCCACCCACCGTGCCCCTCCCGACTCTGGCACAGTCCACGGGCAGTGAGGAGTGGTCTCCAAGAACTGCGACCTGGCTCCCCCTCTTGCTGGGGGCAGAGTCAGATCCGAGCGGCAGGCCAGCGGGCCAATGCAGGGCAGGCTCTGGGCCTGACAGCCAATCCGGGGCCGGGGGCACGGAGCTGGCAGGGAGGAGAGGAGCTGGAGCGTCGCGGAGCCGTGAGGCTGCTCGCCTCAGCCCCACCCCCGAGGTGGGTCCCGGCCGGCCAGTCCCTGTCCAGGCTGGCAGAACAGGCACTCTCGGCTGTGGGCGGTGTGACGTCGCTGGCCCAGCCCAGGGAGGTCCTCCCAGGGCGCCCAGGGAGGGCGGACCTTGGGTCGGACCCGCCGCCCCCAATCCCGGGGCCTGGGGGTCCCCCTCACCTTGCCCCGGCCTCCTGCCAGTCGCCACCACCCCTAGCCTCTCCCGCTGAGTTCGGCGCCCCAGAGAGGATTAAGTAAGTGCTGAGGTCGCCGCTTCTGTGCAAGAATGGAGGAATCACAGAGTCGCGAAGGTGGGGTTGGGGATTGGGGCAGGGAGGACTGATGAACCTGGTGGAGAATGGTATGCGGGTTCTTGGAGGTGGTGGTACCCACCCCTTTCTCTCTGGCTTCCTTCTCTTGCCCTTTGGACCATGAGGCATTCCTGAACAATGATGAGCAGAGCCCCTTCTCTCCTTTGGAGGGAAGAATAAACAGAGCCCCAGAGCAAGTATTAAGGGTCTGGCCCAAGGTCACATCTGGGGTCAGCGGCAGAGCCAAGAAAGAACCTGGGACTCCTGACGTGCCCAGCCTAGCTAGAGGAGGAGGACAGAGAGGGACGATGAGCTTCTCCCATCCCATGTTTCTGTGCCAGCCTTGCTTCTTCCTAAGAGGCCATCACTGGTGTGTGCACACCTCACACACACCCATACACCTGCACAGGGAGGCATCCCACATACACCCGTGAGCTAGCGCAGAGGTGTGTATGCAGCCATGAGCTGTGCATCTCTCCTATCCCTCGGCCTTCCCTTCTGCAGTTTGGCTAGGACCCCTTCCCACCCTGCCTTACCCAGGGCCTTTTGGCCTAGGAAGGCCAAAGTCACAGCTTAGACTGGGCACATCACCCACCCTCTGCTCCCAGGGGAGGAGGGAAGGGGAAGAGAAGGCATCTCAGAGTGGGAGCTCCATCCCTGCCTCTGAAGATACGCTCCCCTTGATTTTCTCCTAGTCCCTGGCAGCCCCTATAGGGAGTTCAATGACCCAAGAGCCTACAGAGAAAGCCCACCAGAGGACCTGACTTTGGCCTCTCTCTCCTTCCTGTCTTCTGGTCTTGCCACACATGTCCCTGCCCTTACTCCAAGCACAAGCTGGACCACACAGCAGGCTGGGTCCAGGGGCTTCTGGGGCTCCCCTTTCCCAACTGGAGTGGCCAGAGGGAGAAGATCTAACATTTATTGGGTACTTGCTGTGGATGAGGGTTGTACGGAGCTAAGTCATTTCTAGGAACTTGTTCATTCTGATATTTCAGTGACCCTATGACCCTTTCTGTGAGGGAGTGTTCTTAATACCCCTACCTTAGACTCAGGAAAACTGAGACATGGAGAGGTGGAGTGACTTGCCTAGGGTCACCCAGTTAAGTGGCTGAACCGGGATTCAAAGACAAGCCTATCTGACTTTCGTGCAAGTGTTTTCCTCCAGGAAAGGAAAAAGCTGCAGTATTTTTTTCTCCAAGCAGGAGGAGAGGGGTGTGGGGGGCAGGAAGTAAGAAGGTGAGCAGTGTGGGGAGTAGGGGCTGGGGGTGGGGAATGAACTTTTTCTTTCAAACCTCCCCGCTACTTTTCACATCCTCCAAGTATGATCATCTTACCCACAAAGAGGGGGCAGGGCTTCATTTTCATGTTCCTAAATCCACATGGGATCCATAGATATATAAAGCACATGTCCTGATGTTCCCTGAACTTGCCCTTGCCCTCAAACTTTTATTTCCCCTGTGCCTTCCGAACTTAGGGGGACTTCATCTCCTCACAGAGTCCCATCCTCAGCCTCATGTTTTTTATTTTTTCCTTTCCAACACCCAGGGAGGCAGGGAGCTCTCTTTATCCAAGGACGTGGCCCCCTGTATGGGTAGTGGGGGCCACAGGCTGGGACACCCCTGCTGTCAGAAGTGAGTGAGCAGGTTGACTGACCACAAGCAGTCCCTCAGCATGAGCATGGACTCCAGGATCCCATCTGCTAGGAGCTGGATCAGCAGCCACCCACCCACCTCTGAACCTGACCTGGAGCCTGCCACAGATGGGCCAGCTTCTGAGACCACCACACTCGGCCCAGAAGCCACCAGCTTTAATGACACCAGAATCCCTGACGTGGCTGGTGGCACAGCCGGCGTGGGCACAATGCTTCTGTCCTTTGGGATCATCACAGTGATTGGCCTGGCTGTGGCCATGGTGAGAGCTGGGGCAGGCTGGGGCTGGCCCAGATGGCCCTCACTTGGCAGAGGGCGATCACTGTTTAGATTTTAGAGGATCTAATCGGAACACAATTGTCTGTTAGTGATAGTACAATCCCTTCCTTCCCCAGAGATTTGTTTATTGGGGTCCAGAGACCAGAGAAGCTGCCTCCAATTGGAAGAACCAGAAAAGGTTCTGAGGAATACATGGCATTTTGAGTTGGGCCATGAAGGCCACGTAGGAGTTGGGGAGGAGGGTGTTGCAGGTGGAGGGTCCTGATGGGCAAACGTTTGGAGGCAGACAGGAGGTACCTGTGAGCAGCAAGCAGGACAGTGAGGCAAGTGAGCGTGGGGATGCAATAGGAGTAGAGGCCAGCAGGCAGTTGGGATAGATTGTGGGCTGTAGAGTCCAAATGGGATGCTTTGGGCATGGCAGGCTGCTGGCAATGTTCATTCATTCATTCATTCATTCACTTGGCAATTATTTACTGGGCACCTGCCCTGGACCGAGCCTTCGGGACCCCAGGGACTAGGAAGAAAAAGTCCTGCCCTGCAGTTCTTACAGGGAGTGAGAGATAGGTAAAACCAAGGGTGCCAAGGGAAGCCCGTAGGGACTGGATTAGGGAACTGGGTGGGAGTTAGGGGGACTTCCTAGGCTGGGTGGTCAGGGACAACTAAGGAGACAACATTAGAGCTAAGACATCACAGTGGAGGCCTGGCCCCAGCGTCGTGAGAAGGGCAGAGTTGGGCAGACATCAGGGCAGAGGTGAGCTGGGGTGAGGGCTGCAGGTGTCCCCTGAGAGTGGATATGATGCTTCCAGATCTGGTATCTACCTCTGAAGATATGGACTCTCCCCTGGGAATTCCCTGGCAGTCCAATGGTTAGGACTCAGTGCTTTAACTGCCGTGGCCCCAGGTTCAATCCCTGGTCAGGGAACTAGGATCTCAAGTTGTGCGGCGTGGACAAAAAAAAAAAAGATATGGACTCTCCTCTTAAGATGATACATGGACACTCAGAATGTCACCGAGGGCCCATTGGAGATTGCGAGGACTGAGATCTGGAAGGGTGAGAGGTGTACCTGAGGTCCCCCAGCAGGCCCGGCAATGGTGGCATTCTGCCTGCTGCCCCTCACAGGCTCTGACGGCTGGCCTTAGACTCAGGAGCATGTTGCTGTGACAAATAGGGCTGGATGATCCATTCATGGCTGGAGCTGCTGGTAAAACAGGGTCACCATATGGGCCCCACAGGCTCCGGATTGCTGCCAGGGAACAACTGCTGGCCAGCGGGCAGAGCCAGGATGCAACACACAGAGTGAGGCCGGGGCCTGAGCAGTCTCCTGGGGCAGGAGTGAGGCAGAATACCGGTGTTTGGCACCCATGTGGTGGTTAAGCAGGCTGAGACACCCTAACCTCAGGGGCAGAGCAGGGCCTAGAAACTGCCTTTGTCACTCTTGGCCAAAGATTTTGTCCTGGGAACTTGGGAAGACTTCCTTACTCTTCATTCTGGAGGAATATTCGGAGGGCCGCGGTGGATGGCCTTATCACCAAACACGGAGAGGTAGGGAAGTTATGGGGCAAAGGCAGTGGAGGGCAGGAAACAGCTCCTGGGCAGGGGTCAGGTCTGGAGATGTTCCTTGAGTACTTCTTCCTCTCCCCTCATGCCAACCCTGAGCCAGGCCATGCTGGGTGCAAGGAGGAACAAATCAGTGCCAGGCCGTGTGCCTCACGTAGGAAGAACAGTGGGGGAGGGCTTCCTGGAAGAGGTGGGGCTGCAGCTGGACAGTGAAGTTACGTAAGGAAGATTTGGAAAGGAAGGTATTTGCGGGGAGGGTGTTAGTAGTTGGGGCAGAGGGAGCAGCAAGGGCGAGGGGTGGAGATTGGTTCTAGCCTCTCTTAAAGATCCTTCTGTATCACAGGGCAGGCAGGAGGGCTGAGAGGCGAGGGAGTACAGTGTGCTGGGGCTGGAGCTGCTGCATCAGGGCAGGCAGGGGCTATGCCAGAGACCTGGAGCTCCTGTTGCATCCCACCCACAGGAGAGCAAGGGGCATGCCAACATGTGACCTCCTGGAGGGGATGGGGGAGCAAGGGGCACTGCAGTTTCTTTCCGCCTTTGGGGTCCCCCAGGAATGAGCAGCAGGAGGAGCTCTGGGTCAGGCTGGAAACAAACCAGATTCAAGCTGTGAATGGGCCACAAAGAGTATAGGAGCCACAGGGGGTTTGGGACAGACTCTAGGGACATGGCTTTCCCCCAAGCAGAAGAAGTCACGCTCCTGGCAGTCAAAAAACACCAGTTGAGGGATGAGCGAGATGGTGGCAGAGGTCCCTGGAGTTCCTGCTCCAGGTCCTGCAGAGGTCCCCAAGTCTCACCCCCTTCCTCCCTCCCCTGAGTGCTTTGTACCAGGATTTCCTGCTCTAGCCGGGAGCTCTTGGGTCTCAGATGTTTTCTCAGGCTGCCTAGGCCTTTATCTTCAAGTCATTATGATGGGGGTTAGGACCCAGGGGTCTTCCTAGGTTCCTCCAGCATCAGGGTTCAGGAATGTGGTCTAGGCTGATGTCCAGGGGCTCAGACCCTCCTCCTCAGCCCCTGAGGGCCATCAGCCTCCCATGGAAACCCCAGGAAGCCAGCCCAGAGCCTTGCCTAGAGTCACTGCCCTGCAGTGTCTGCCCACTGCCTATCCTCTGTTCTTTTTGCCCATACATGGGGAGAAAATTTGGTCCTGGGGACAGCTGAGAGGAGGGCTCTCAGCCACCACCACTTCAGCCCTGAGGAGTCCGAGGCAGGCACTGAGCGGCTGGAGCCACAGTCAGTTTTGGCAGGGGTGGGCCCACGCGTCCCTAGGCCAGGCTTACCTGTGTGGTCTTCCCAGGCTGGCCTTCTCCCCACCTCTGAGTTCGGGCACTGTCAGCATCTAATAAACGTCAAATGGAAGCACAAATTTAGGATGTATGTGTCCCTGGGATGGGGTCGCTGAGGACATGGGGACCTATAGTTCTCCCGTTCATCAGCCTCAGCATGTCCCCTGTCCCGAGGGACTGCTGGATTAATTAGGGCCTCCTTTCCTGGCCATTTGATGCTGCTCCTTCTCTTGCAGGTTTTGTACATCAGGAAGAAGAAGAGGTAACTCCCCATCTGCCACCCAAGACTCCAGCCCGTGGGCAATGCTGGGCTGGACTCCAGGGGACGTGGGTGGGAAAGGAGAGTCCCTCCACCATGAGGGTCCCTCTCCCTAGTGAAGGAGTCAGGGCCTCTTCTGCCCACTCGGGTTTGGGGGTAACCATTTTCCCCTGGGGAGGGCTGAGCCACCCTTGCCCTGCTGCCCTGAGCTAATGGCTACTGACTCCCCTTTCCCCACCCCGGCCCCTCAGAGGCTGGGGATCGCAAAAGGCCCTGGCTTAGGCAGTCCCCATGGCTCTCATGGATGATAGCTCTGTGGCCCATGGCCCCATCTGGTCCCAGGAGTGGGTAACTATCCCTCCCAGGCCACCCATCCAAGAGGTAGAGCTAGTACTGTATGTGCAAAAATGTCTTTCATTGAACCCCAGGGGAAATTTTAGGACCCTAAACATGGTGGTGTCAGCTGGTCAGCAGGCAGCAGCACCTGGAGAGCTGGTGGGAGCGGAAGGGCCTGCCCTGCCTGCAGCAGTCTCTGCCCCCACCCCCCAGGCTGGAGAAGCTGCGCCACCAGCTCATGCCTATGTACAACTTCGACCCCACGGAGGAGCAAGATGAACTGGAGCGGGAGCTGCTGGAGCACGGGCGGGACACTGCCTCCGTGCAGGCCGCCACCGCTGTGCAGGCCACGCTGGCCAAGGTGGGCACTGACCAGGCTCCTCCACTCAGCCTGCAGCCTGTTTGTGGCTCTTCCACCCCCACCCTCCCTCCTTTCCCATGTAGCTTTCTAGCACCTGCCATGTGGTCAAGTGGCAGCTATCGGGTATATGGATTTTGTCAGGTTTGTTTAGAAACTAGTAGAATTGCTCCTCGGCCACCCACAGGCTTACTGTACAAGGCCAGGCCAGGGCAGCCCTGGGATCCAGCCTGGCTCTGTCCTGATAGCCTGGTCACCTTGGAAGCTCCGTTGGCCTCTCTGAGCCTCAGTTTTCTCATCTGCAAGTGAAAATCCTGATTCTTGCCTCAGGTATGCCCCCTCAAACTAGGGGGAAAGCAGAAGACTCACGGGAGGGATTGTTGGGGGGCTGAGACCCTGGGTTCTTCTGCTTCCTGAGATCCCAGTCCTGAGTGAGTTGTGACTGGCATCAGATTCTGGGGCAGTGGCACCTCTGAGTAGATTGGTGGGTTCCTAGTAGCTGGCAGACCCCAGGCAGGTGCAGACCCTAGCCGGACTCACCTCCCATGTCCAAAGTGCTGGGTACCTGTGTGGTTATCCTGCCAGAGTCACTGGGCTGCCTGGCCACTTGCCACCGGTCCCTGAAATCCCCAGGGGCCAGAGCACCATGAGGAGGCCTGGTCTCCCCCTGACCCATGATGCCCCTTTGCATCCCTCCTTGCCTTGACTGCACAGGTTGCTAGGGAACCTGGCTCCACAGCAGCAGAATTAAGAGACTGGGCTCAGGAAGAGTCCAGGCTGAGAGTCCCCTGGTTTTGCTACCAGTTCTTTGTCACCTGGATCAGGACTCATTCCCCCTTGGGATATTCAGGAAATTGGGCTGAGAACCTTGGTCCACCCAGCTCTTGGGACTACTGACTATTTGACGGTTGTTTCCTGTGCATCTCCCTTGTGCCAGCCCTTGTGCCCGGGCTTTGGGGCTTGGGGGTACAGAGGTGAATACCCTCTGCTGGGAGAGGTCAGTACATGCATAATCAATGCAGGCCCTGGGACCTAGGTTAAGTGCTGCAACTGGCTGAGGTGGCAGGGCAAGCTGGGGATGGCTGGGGGGAGGAGTCATCTGAGCCAGGTCGTATTTCTTGGCTGAGCTTGTGGGAGGGCATTCCAGGCAGAAGACATAGCTGGTGCCAAGCACACGTGGGCACCAGAGGGTGGAGGGGACTGGGCCAGAGAGTGCATGGCCTTGGTCAAGATCCCTGATGCCCCTTACTGTCTCTCTGCAGACCACTCTCCCCTCTCAGGGCCCAATGCAGAGGCCCAGCCGGCTGGTGTTCACCGATGTAGCCAATGCCATCCACGCGTGAGGACCCCGGGACAGGCCTGGACCTCTGATGAAAACACCTGCCACAGTGCCCTCAGCTGCCAACTCCGAGATCATTAGGACCTCCTCTCAGGACCTGCCCTGCCAAGGCCTCAGCTATTTTGAGGACCCAGCTGCTGACCCTCCAGGCTCTAAAAGAGGCCCTGGCCAGGTTGGGCATATGGCCACTGATATCCCCTGACCTGAGGGCCCTGGAATGCAGAGCATCCCTCATAAGGCTTCCTTATGCTGGCTGGCTTCCTTGTGCCCTTCCCAGACCCCTCACATCAGGGTCTTCTCCTCTAATGTGGAGGAAATGGGGGGAGATGTGGGATGGGAGGGGGAAGGGAAGGAGAGTAGGGGGGTTCCCATCCATCAGGGAGAGACATATCTTTGGAATCTGGAGTCTCCTCTGGGGTGGGGAGAGGCAGCCACCCAGGTCACAGACACATGGTATGGTGGTACACTGGGAGAGGCTCAGGGATAGAGCTGAAACTGCCCAGTGGGCAAGGATGCCAGCAGGAGGACTGCTCATACCCAAGGTCAGTCCAAATTACAGGGATCCATGAGGTCTTCCAGCCACCCCTCCGTGGTGGTCGGCTATTGGCTGGGCCCAAGCTAGGATGAGAGCTGAGGGGGAAGGGAGGTGGGGGAGCAGGTGTGGAGGGATGCAGTGCCCAGACCTGCTGGAAGGCCTCCTGCATGCGCATGAAGGTGCCCACCTGCAGACATGTGCCTGTCCCAGCACAGGGGGCAGGATGGAGACCCCTGCATTGGCTCCACACTCCAAGCCACCCCCCACCCCATGGTGTGTAGAGGAACATTAAGTAGGCCACCTTCTCCACCTTCAGTGTTCAGGGACTGAAGGGAGAGGGAAGCAAAGGCAAGGGTCCACTGCCCACCACATCCCTTCACTGGGCTCTAAAAGCCAGGTAACCTGCTTCTGGAACAGTTCCCTGTCTTGGTGTTTATCGGGGACCTGGGGTTGGGGGAGAGACTATTGGTCAGAGGGCAGTGGTCGCCAGCTGCAGGGTAGCAGGGGAAGTTCTGAATGCCTGAAACAGGGTGGGGATAGCCCCTTGGAAAACAGACCTAAGAGACCTAGTCTGGGTTTTGATTACACAACCCACCTACCCATTGTCCACCCACCCCATGCCCCGCAGGAATTCTGCCAGGCTGGGGCATCTGGGCAAGGCACTGGGTCAAGCCAGACCCCAAGAGCTGGGCACTTCTCCGCTGGGCACACATGTGCACCTGAGCAGGCACAGACACACACCCCTGTGCCCAGCCTCGCCGCCATCACTGTCCTCTGCTGGTTGGCGGGGACGTGAGGGTGGCAAATACGAGGTGTCAGGCTGTGAGGGCATAGGAGGACTTCATGGGGAAGGTTCTGGATTTATTTCCTCCTCTAGATGCTATAAATACGTTAGCATTTGAGCCAATTGGAGGGCTATGGGTAATTTAGGATGCACAGAAACTGTAATTTAACTCATAGCATCTCCATGTGAGAGCATTAAAGATGTAATTAAGACGTTTACACAAAGAGAGTGTGAGCCTGTGACACTGGGGATGTGAAACCCCAGGAGGGGTGGGATGAGTGAGGGGCTGTGGGGGGGATGGCCGCTTGGATATCAGCTATGAGGTGGAAGCCCAGCTGGCTTTCCTTGATCTATCCAATGAGTTGCCTCTGGTCCTGAGTTCAAGGCTGCTCTGGGGCCTCGTGCCTCAGCTGTGGAATGGGGTCATGATGCCTGCCATATCCTTGGTTGGAGAGGCCAAGTGGACAGGACCTATGGGACAGGAGGAGGGAGGGGGCATGAGCCCCAAGGGCCAGGGGGAGGTGCGATGCCTCAGGACCCATAGGAGCTGGGTGTGAAACACAAAAGAGAAGAAAATAATGTGGTCTTTCCCAGAGCACAGGGGTGCAGGGGATGGGTGGTGTTGGGAAGCCACAAGGGTTATGTGTGGGGAACCCACCTGCAGTGTTCAGAAGGGTTTGGAGGGTTTGGTCACTGTTGTGACCTAATGCCCTAGTTTTCCCAGGACTGCACAATTTTAGGATTGAAAATCTCATAAACCAGGACTTTAAGTGACATCCTGACCCTCTGCTAAAGAACTGAGCCTTCAGGCTAGCATAAGTGGAAACGAGGAGAGGGTGAGCCCCAGTCCCATGGTGGAGGGCTGGGCTGGACCTGGGGGTTGCAGGACAGGGCCTTGGGTAAGAGTGAGGGCCCCAAGCACCCCATGGGCCTCCCACACTGGGGTCAAACAGCCGGACCTGTCAGTGACAAGCCTGGTCTTGGGGAGGGGTCTCCTTTCCTCAGCAGACTGACAGGATTTCTGAGGGTGAGGGGAGACGGGATGTGTGGGCTGTGCACCTCAATCCTGTTGGATAGCCCCTCAGCCCCAGAATGTGGGAGCTGCAGAGGACCCAATGTCTGGGAGACCCTAAAAATGGAGTCCGGAGAGTAAGGTTGGCACCCAGGGACCAGAGCCTGGGATGGGGGCTCCGGGAGGACCCCTGTCCCCATTCTCTCCCACTGCCTGCCCCAGACCCCTGTCCTGGTTGGGTGGGTTTGGCTAGGTGATGGACACAGGGCAGCTTTCTCTGGGTGACGGGGGCCGCTTCCTCCTCCTTTGTCCCCTCACATCACCCCCTCTTCCCTTCCACCCACCTTCTGTTTTCTAACTCTCTCTCACTCCTGGAGGAATACCAAATGCCCCCCAAAGTTCCCAGGCCTTCTACAGAGTGTGGGATCAATAAACATTGGGATAAAATGTTCCAGGTGATGTGTCCTCCATGTGACCATGGGCCTGGTGGACTGACCAGAAAGCTCCTCGCCACCCTCAGCCAGGCAGACGGGGTGAGACGGTGCTGCCCGCCTGCCATTACTACTCCTGGTGGTGACTGTTACAAGGGGGCCCTTGGGAGCTGCTCCCCTGGCCCCCAGCCCTGTACGCACATCAATGCATGAAACCCCTCCTCACAGGTAGCGACCGGAGTTTTGGGCAGAAGCTGCAGCGGTTACAGTGGGTGGTATGAGGGTGGACGTGGAGGGCCGCCTTCAGAGGAGGCCATCTTGTTTAATCAAGTGAAGTGTCACCTTCGAGCCAAAGTGAATACAATAATCCTGTTGCCTGGCTGCAGGCAGATGCCAGAGACGCCTTCAGAATGTAAAGGAAAGTTCCTGTGGGGTTGAGCACAGAAACTCCTGTAGAGCAGTCTGACCTTGCAATGGGTTCCTTCCAGAAACATCACTGAGCCCCACAGGGGGCCCAGCACCAACCCAGTCTCTGCATCACCATTTGAGATGGGAGGAAACACATGTCAAATAGGAAGAAAGGATGAGAAAGAGAGAGAGAGAGAGAGAGAGAGTGTGTGTGTGTGTGTGTGTGTGTTTCAAGTGTATCCACAAACACACTCTAAGTCTACACCCATATGAAAAAGAAGGCAGGAAGAGGATCCAGTGTGCCTGGGGGTGTTCAGAGGCTGAGAGCAGACACTGCCACCCTATCCTATCCAGCTGCACCCTGCAGCAGGCCTCAGTGTGAGGGGCCTTGGCTGAGAATATCTGAGGGAACCCCAGGAGCATCCCCCACCCTCCTGGCCTCTGAGGGCTCAGGACAGGGGGCAAGTGCAGCCAGGGGCATCTGTGGTCATACAGAAGACATTCTTGAAAGGCCAGAGATCCTCTTACCCACAATGGCTGGGGGAGGTGGGCTGTCTCACTCCTGTTTCATCAGTGAGGAGCCAGGGGAGAGTAGCCCAGGGCTCCGTGTACAGCTGGGGCTGGGGTTTGAACCTGGTACATCCTGGGCCCACAGCCCACAGCTCATGTGGCCCAGGCAGGCCTTGATATGGAGGACAGCAACACAGCCTGCACCTACAAGCGTGGCCCAAGGTGCTCCAAGCTCCTACCTCCCTTTGACCTGACAGGAGGCTGGGCATGTCCTGCGTCCTATGCCTAGGTATTTCAGGGGAAAGGGCCATAGATTCAGTCCAGCTTTCCAAGGCCAGGGCTAGGACTAGGTCCCCTTTGAGGCTCCGTGACAACCTGGATCCCAGCCCTATTTCCTCCAGGTGTACATATGTAGTGCGGAATGAGAGGCCATGTCCTTGTCTGCACCCCTCTGTTCTCCTAATACATGGTCGCTGGGTACCAGCACCTCCCCCCTGGGGCTGCCAAAGCCCCACAGATCACTGTCAAGGAGCACCCAGTCTCCCAGTCTCTCACACCACTAATCCAGCTCCCACCTTCCTGGATGGCAACATGGATGGATGTGCCCACCTGCTTGAGCTTCCCCAGTGCTCCCAGTGACATCCAGGCTAAGGCCCAGCCAATCCCCTCAGCTTCTCCTACCCAGCCACCTCTGGGATCTGACCTGTGAGAATGTAGAGAGGGGACAACAGTAGATGTCCCAGCCCTTGGGGTTGATGGGCCTCCTGTCCTCTGGCCACTGGTCAAACAGGAGAGGAGGGACATTCACCCTGGCCATTCCCACCTACCCAGCCCTTACTGTACTTCTGCTGGAGGCCTGGAGGCCTGCATTAGGAGGGGTAGGCAGGTCTACTTCCTGGGAGTGCAGCTAGAGATAAAGGGGCTGCAGTAATAACAGTGTCAATAATAATAACAGTAACAATAATAATGTGTGGTTTATTGAGCTTCTGCCACGTGCCAGTTACAGTGGACCGGCTCCCTGAGGGAGGGCCAGGTCAGTGTTCCCCACTGCCATTCACAGGTATTCAGAGCTGGACAATGGCCAGAAAGGGCCTTGGGCCACCTCAAGGGCCAGAATCTGGTCCCAGTAACTGCTACCTTTGATTGGCCCGATCCCGGCACAATCTCACTTTATTCCCAGTATCCTTCTTGGGGATATACTGTCACCCATCTCACAGAAGAAGACCTCTAGCACCCAGAGACTAGGGTCATCAGGCTCAGAGGCAGAGGATTGGCTCTTCCTCTATGCCATTTGAGAAAGGAGTGTCAGACAAGTCCTAGAAACAGGAGGATGCTGGGGCCTGATGGGGCACCCAGGAGGCACGGCCCACTTGGCTCCCCAATCTGCCTTCCAGCCTCCAATGTGCCCCCGTGCTGCCACCTGCTGGCATCTATAGGCACTGCAGGTGGCCTTCCTGTCCCCCACTGTCAGCCCAGTCACCCGTTTGGTGGCCCCAAGTGCACCTCTGGCCCCATCCTCGGATTCCTCCCCTGCCTTTCCCCCATGTGGCATGGAATGCAGCCCTCACACTGCAGGTCCTGACATGGGGGCTCATCTGGCCGGGCAGGGACTAGAGTGAGGTGAAAGGGAGCACAGGGTTCAAAATGTCAGGAGCCACTCAGGCGCTGATATTACACTTGCACCAACCTGAACGTGAATGTCTCCTCAAATCTGTGCCCTGGGTGCCTCATTCGCCTCATCCTAGTCCTGGCCCTGCTACTCAGGCCCCTCTTGGTCAGGACCCAGGCGGCAGACACTGAACCTCCGTCCCACCACCACTCACGCCCATGCCAGCAGGCTGGAGGCCCCAGAAGGCCAAGCAAGGGGAGTGTGGGCCTCTCTCTGGCAGAGCTCGCACAGATGCTCTTTACCCAGAGGAGGCTGAGAACACCAGATTATGAGAGACTTAAAGGACTTAGCAGCGGCTCAATAACTAGTCAATAAGGTGACGCTCTGAAGCCCCAGGTGAAGGAGGAGGACAGGATTCCTGCCGTAAATCCCTGTGGGCAGCTCAGACCTGAGGTGGGTGTGTGAACCTCCCGCGGCACTTGCAGGCAAAATCAGAACCCATTTAATCCCCCAGCAACCCCAGAGTATGGGCACCAGTTGTGCCCTCATATTTTTTTAATTTATTTTTTTGCTGTACGCGGGCCTCTCACTGCTGTGGCCTCTCCCGTTGCGGAGCACAGGCTCTGGACGCGCAGGCTCAGCGGCCATGGCTCACGGGCCCAGCTGCTCCGCGGCATGCAGGATCTTCCCGGACAGGGGGCACGAACCCGCGTCCCCTGGATCGGCAGGTGGACTCTCAACCACTGCGCCACCAGGAAGCCCGTGCCCTCATATTGTACATGGGGAAACTGATACACAGAGCAGTAGGGTAACGGCATGTGGCAGGGCCTGGATTTTACCTCAGTTGGGTTAACCCCAGAGCTCACACCCAAGACTCCCAAAGAAGGTAAGAATGTTCTCTGAAGAAAGAGCTGCCCCCTCCTCTCACCACTTTTTCATTCTCTTCAACCATTCCCAACTCCTCCACACCAGGCCCTCTGCTGGACTCTGGGGCTGAGGTGCACCCAGAAGGGGTTGGCCTTAGAAGAGTCCTATGCAGCGTTGTGACCCAGAACAGTAATGATGACAGCAACAACTCACCCCTCTCTAGGAAGTGACAAGAGATGCAACATCACTTCTGACCAGAGGCAGGGCAAGTCTTTCATTGTGCCGGGCCCTGTGCCGGGTTTGGACACAGGGTCACAATGGACGTTTCGGGCTGGGCAGGGGCAAGGTGTAAGGGACGATGGGCTTCCTCACAGCCATGACACTAGCGATGGAGATGACCCCCACAAACATGGGGCGCCTACCTTGTGCTGGGCCAGCCCTATGTGCCACACCCTCTCTGCCTCTCTACTGAATACCCCCTTTCTTCACGCCAGTGCTGTTAGGGGAGTGGATCTGTCAGACTGCTCTCTGAGGATCACCAGGCCAAGGGTGCTGCTGGATGACTCCCCCAGAGAGACCACACTCACCTCCACTCCTCCAGAGGGACCCAGGAGGCCTGTTCCCACACGCAAGTTGTCCCCTGCCCAAGCCTCAGTGGGTAAGTGGACCAGTTTCCTTTGGTGGAGGAAAGCGAGAGTACTCTGTTTGGAGACCTTCCCAATGTGACCAGCAGATGACAGTGTAGGCCCAGATTATAGGCCTGGCTTGTGGGGCCAGTTTGAGGAGTGCTGTGGATGAAACTTGGCCTTGAGCCCTTTTTCGGGAGACTGGGAGTCTGGGTGGCTGACGCACTGAAGCTGTTTGCTTCCTCCCTGCCAGGAGCAGGTCTAGTCTGGGACTGGGTCACGGAGAATGTCTACTCATGGCTGTGTCCTGAGCCTCCAGAATGGAGCCTGGTACCTAGTAGGTGCTCAGGGCTATTCAATGAACAGAGGATTGGTAAGTGGTTCTTGCCTCATGAGAATTAAATTAGCTAATATATAAAAAGCACGTGGAAAGACTTCAATAAATGTGTGCACTTCTTTGAACTTTTATTATGGATGGTCCCCACCCATTTTGGAAAGTCTAAGCTGTGGGCCCCGTCCTGGTATCTAGATAGCTTCTCCCAGCAGGGGATAAAGACTGAACCCCAAAGCCTCACCATTCAGCAGAGCAGCTCTTGTGGGCATTTGGAGACAGGAAAGGTCTGTGCCAAACCCTGATGGTGGCACAGGGACTGGGGCCCCCTCTACTTCACCAGGCATCTTCCATAGGCAGGGGAGAAAGCCAACCTTCTCCTGTCCCTGACCGGGCTGGCCTGCTGACAGGTTCAGCTGCTGGAGGTTGGGCAGGGGTGAGGCTGGGGGCCATGCCCTTTAGTGGTCGTGGCCCAAGCACATGGTATCCGCAGGTCACTCCCTCCTGGAACTTTCTTACTGCCACACGTGCCTGCCCTGGGATCTCTACTGTAAATTCCTATCCCATCTTTACCTCAAATCCTAGCTCCCACCTCAGATGAGTGCCCACCAGGGTATCACACAGAAAAACGAAAACCGTCTCTCCCCTCCCCCCATTATG